CTCCATGCGATAATAAAGATTTTGCTCAAAAGGTTGACGCACATTTTGCAATATTTGAGGAGTAATTTGAAGGCATTCATTCACAATTCTTTGTCGCAGGTCTTCTAATGATGTTGTCTGAGTAGCATAGATTTTGCTTTTTAAATGACCCCACATAGGTGATAAATCTGGCGATCTTGGGGGCCATTCAATGGCACCTTTTCTACCAATCGATCGATCTGGAAACGTCTGATCTAAATATTGTCGAACACGTAATGCGTAATGTGGTGGGGCTCCATCCTGGGCATAGTGAAGAAAAGCATTTACTTATTAAGTAAATTCTTTTAGTCAAATTTCTTCTGAAAGTAGTACAAACAAATCTGATGTACCTATTAACGTGTACTTTAAGCTTTAAATCAATAAATCTTCAAAACTACTGAACTGAAGCTCATATATTTTACAGTGTTTTAAAGGGAATTGGAAGACCTTTAAAATAAGGTATCACTCGACTCCCCTTTCCATTTAAGATTTTGGGGGTGGTGTCATCCCCGCTCAGGGGGCTGCACGTGCTAACGTGATTTTTTGCCAAACTTGTGTCCCCCTCGAAAACAAAATCGACGGGTCTGAGCGTTTTTCCAAAAAAAAAACTGAGCTGCCAGTAAATGCGTCTGTTTCGTTTTCGATGCGCCACCCTGTATAACGCTTCATATTTAAATGTATAGTTAAAGAAACAAAAAACGTCACTGTCGTAGGAATAGAAATGCAGCAGTTTGGTGCAATTTAATCGTAGGATTTTAACTTACTTATCCTACTTTTTAGCCTGTTATTATACGCTAATGATTTACATGTGTATATCGTACACATATTGTTATAAACACTCTTTCTCTCCCCTAGTGCATCTGGAAATGTCGACAGTCCCATAGGCAGCAGAAATAAACGTGTAATACCACACCAGAAGAGAACCAAGCCCAGCGGCAGACCGCTGGGAGCAGGAGTCGCCGCCAATAGGTACGCGATTCGTCTGCTGAGAATATTTGTCTGAGAGCTGACGTTCGGAAAAATCTGTGATATGTAAAATAGAGGGTGCGGCAGAGATGATGGACGGTTTTTAAAAAAATCATAAAATAGTTAATTTTTACTCGAAAACAAATTTATTGATGTAATCAGGTTCACAAGGAAATAGCATTTGAGACAGTCAAGTGTGGAAAATCACATCAGGCATGTGGTGGCCGAAATCGTTGATGCAGTGCTGGACGCGTTCTTGGAAGTTCGCGTAGACTCTCTCCAAAATCGCTCTCCCAACTTGGGCGACTTCCACGCGAATTTCGCCCTTCAAATCGTCCAGAGTTTGGGGCATGTTCGCGTATACTCTAGCGTTGAAGTGTCCCCACAAGAAAGTGCAGCAGCATGTTTCCGGGCAGATCGAGTCGGATTGCGAAGAAAGACCTGTCGAACGCGTTCAACATTTTCAGGAGTTCGAACTGTTCGCGGCGCTACTCTTGGTCTTCTGTTGATCAGTTCACCACGACTGCGAAGTGATTCAACCCAACGAAGGATGGTGTTTCGAGAGGGAACAGCTCTATTCCGATGAATGTTGAAATGGCGACGAAACTGACGCTGTACGACGATGACTGACTCATTATTTCGGATGAAACAATCATAGGCGAAAACGCGGTGCTCCACCGTCCAAGGCTCCATAACGATAACTGGTAAAATAATGCTAGGATCTCACGAGTCAAACGGCACCCTCCCCACCTCTCTCGTAAACGGAGGCGGAGAGTACTACCCACCCCAAAAACGTCCGTCCTCTCTGCCGCACCCTGTATATCTGACATGTGCATAGAATTAGCAATACTGGCAGCGTATAAATATACTCGTACTAACATCAAAAAGATTTTCAAAAATGATCAGGATCTTCCGAAACATCAAAAAACAAATTTTGAACGACTTTTATTCTTTTGAGTTCTTGACCCTTCTCACTGGACCGATTTTCAAAAACTACAAAGCTTTATCGTCTCTTCGGACAGATAGACAGGCCGACGTGGTTTTTCCTATAACTTCCAAAAACCATATCTCAATGTCGAAAATTTTCTCGATCACAGCCAGTATTCGTGGGAAGTAAAAATGTTAAGTTGATACAATTGTAGCCATCTATTATTAGCGTTATCTCGCAACCTGTTTTGCAACGAGCTGGTCCAAAAAAGGTCTCCGATATCAAGACAGATCGTGACTTTGCGTAAATGCAAGAGAAACAAGAATCAGTTGTCCGCCTGTCTGCTTCGGTTCCCCAAGAAGTGAGGTCGGCAACTCTTTGAGTGGCTGACTGGCTGCTGACGTTCCACTATGCCACGCCGCGTCGCTAACGCCCAACATTAGCGCCGGCGTTGCTTTTTTACAAGAACACCAACAAAAACCGAATGGTTGTCCACGCAAAGAAAAGCGATGGAAAAGTATAGCTTATAAGAGGAACATAATGGCTTGTTGTTATTTGTTACGGGGAACTTACGAGACTCATTTTTACTTCCCACGCCTACTGACGAGAAAGTATCCCGTCGGTCTGTTTGTCTGTCGGTGTGTTTGTGAGAAGTTCCACTCGGATTACGATGAAATGTTACTACTACGCCAAAGACGCAAAAGCTTTGTAGTTTTTAAAAATCAGACCAGATAAAACTTTATTTATGAATGTAAATTGTATCACACACTAAAATGAGTAGATTTTCCTAGCACTGTCCACCAAAAAAAATCATTAAATTTTGTTCTTGTCGCAACGTAAGGCCGAGCGTTGTCAAGCAAAACGAGGCCGTTAGAGAGCAGGCTCCGCCGCGGCGGTGGTTTTGGATAGCAAAAAAGCCCGCCTAATTCAACAATCTGCTGGTTAATTTCAGCAGGAGGAGCTTTTTTGCGTTTAAAAAACAAATTATTGAGTGGACTTCACAATCGGAAGGTTTGCTGATTGACATATCGTTAATCAACTCAATATAACCACACAAGCAACACCGACATAGGTATGGAACATAATGGCGGTGTAGTGCGTAATCGGTTCTGACTTTAAAAATGAATGGATGAATGTAGAATATGACGTTACGTTATGAAAAACACGTTTAAAGTCTTATAGAAAATACTATTACTTCTTACAATTTAAGCTTGAAGAAACTTGTACACTTTTTTCGTGACAGAAGATCGATATATCCAGTGGAACGCGGAAATGTAGGCTAAGTTAGCGAGTACTAAGTCGAGCATGGTGAACAATTTCGCTAGAATAACATGTTAATTTTTCTGGATTGTAATCTCAATATGCACGGTCATTAAGCGGAAGGAAAACTCTTCAGGCTCGCGACATCATTCAACAATGCTTGGCATATATCTGTCTCTTTCCGACTTCAATTATCGCACGTTGTTTTTATTTTTTATAGTAGTCCTTTATTTAGAAAAAAAAAATCTTAATTTCAACCACAACAACAACTGGTAGCATTACATCATTTCACAAGTACATACATACAGGGTAGCGCATCGAAAACGAAAGAGACGCATTTACTGGCAGCTCAGTTTTTTTTTGGAACAACGCTCAGACCCGTCGATTTTGTTTTCGAGGAGGACACAAGTTTGGCAAAACAGAAAATCACGTTAGCAAGTGCAGCCCCCGAAACGGGGGTGACACCACCCCCAAAATCTTAAATGGAAAGGGGGGTCGAGTGATACTTTATTTTAAAGGTCTTTCAATTCCCTTTATAATGATATAATATTAATGTACTTCAGTTCAGTAGTTTTGACGATTTATTGATTTAAAGCTTAAATAAAACTAATACGTCATCATTAGTGGAGATCAATACATTTGGCAGCAAAGTAATTTAAAAATGAAGAATGAACTGATCCGTTATGCAAGTGAATGTTGAAAACGGCCACCATGACTCTCCATGCAATAATAAAGATTTTGCTCAAAACGTTGCCGGACATTTTGCAATATTTGAAGAGTAATTTGAAGGCACTCATTCACAATTCTTTGTCGCAGGTCTTCTAATGATGTTGGCTGAGTAATAAATTTAATAAATTGTGTCAGATCTTATTTGTTTTATTTACATGGAAATGAGTACACGTCCTAGTATTACATGAATGGATCTCATTATTTTGGGCGTAGATGAGCACCTAAATAATTAGGTAATGTTCCCTTCACAATTTCATAAATAAATAGCATTGTTGTTAAATAAAGATGTTGATTCACCGATAACCACTGTAGAGTATCCAGCATTGTTACAGGACACAAATCGCTTCGTTTCCCTCCAAAAATCTAAAAGTCATGCGCCCATGAATATCACCGCATACGCACAATGTCATACCAGTAGTCTCGTTGTTACGGAATTTAATATAAGCCTTGCTCTTGAATACTTGCATACCGGAGAACTCTCACTTTCCGCGCCGCCTGAAAACGTTAAGGTCAAGGTCAAAGCACTCTTGATTTTTCGAACAATGAAATATCTATTTCTTTGTGATTACCAATAATTTTATTATCATGAGAGAAATGCTAAGGTCAAGGTTTGTATTAAAGATGCATATCTATTGAAAAAATATTTCTTCTTGGTTAACTCCAAAACACACAGAGGTTCCAAGTGACCCATTGCTTGCCGCTAAGATTTTATTATACAAAATTCTATATTTTGAGGTTTCCTATGGGAAAACACACATAAACTCCTTCTCTCAGGTAAATCTGGTATGTGGATTCCGAATCTGACAGCTGCTAGAATTGCTCGAACCCTTACTGGGTCTAAGTGACTAACTTTCTATCTCTAATTCGGCTAGACGTGGCTTCATATTTTTTTTACGGTGATATTTCAGGTTTCTTATGAGAAAATTTTTAAATATGCCAGTGTATCTATGATCTAAACCAAAAATTCGTTTCCCGGGTAAATTTCCAAATTCTTCATGATTTCATGAATCACTATCCGATGTTATGCTCCACCAGCAATCGAACATAACTGTAAATGTGATCTGCATCTACATTTTTCTACTTAAGCCATTATCTACATGACAGAACCGCCCATATCATTCTCAGCAATTCATTATTTCTGGGCTTGCCCAGTGCACAAGGTTGGCGATGTTGCCGACAGACTTTTGTATAAAAATGGCATTATATGCACTGTCCTACATAGTGCATAGTGGATAAACAGCACAAAATGCGTCATAAGGTAGGAGATAATCATAGAGTTTACAAATCATATTGTTTCCCATTTATTTTCATGTTGTTCTTCAAGTGATGTTTTACACTCAAAAAGATTCTTGATGTCTGGATGTCACAGAAACTTGTAACGAAATAATTTGTTATATGTTACGTTGCATTTCTTGATTAGGATTACTACAAACTTTTATCACTTGCTAAACCAGCCTTTTGAAAATCGTACTCAGAAAATTGATACAAAGATGAAAATGCTCATACAGCAAAACACGTTTAGAAACCCGTTCAGAGAGTAGTAAAACTGTAATAGTCAAATAGTTTATTGTTCAGACAAGGATGGTTCTTCCAATAAACGGTCTTTTATGTAATTTGTTCTGAAAGCGAAAACGTTACTCTGTGAGATTCCATACTATTGTACCAACGGGCTTTGCTCCTCAGAGCTCTCTTCCATGACGCCGCCGCGCGATGTGCCTGCCAGACAGACCCCTCTGACTTTGGCGTCCCATCCTAACCGTGTCGAACTTCGTACATCCAGAACTGGCCGATACGACCGCTCCTTTGTCCCTAGGGTGTCGAGATTATGGAACAATCTACAAGAGGAAGCTTTTCCCAGTTCTACTAACCTTAGGCAGTTCAAAAATCGTATTAACAAAATTTCTTTGGGATCATCATAGCAGCCGCGGTGTTCCGGCATTTAGGCTTCTGCCTGCTCGGCTGCTTCGATATAAAAAAAATCTTGTTTTTCATATCAAGGTAACGATTTCCTCAGTTCAGAACGGCTTAATAACCACACGTCAAAACTTCAGTTCTCGGCATCTCAAAAATACGATTATTTTTCTTCATTTTAGCTCGCAGTTCTAACCTTTTCTGCTCTAGTAGCAGTTTCAACAGCAGGAATTATCCCCACAATAGAAGTGCTTCAAGGTCCTGGTAGTAAAACGATCTTACATGGACCTGATGGAAGTGCTCTTAAGGCAGCTAATCCAGGTGGTACGGTGGTGACAGAAGATCATGGAACTGGACTGGTGGCTGCCGGACCTGCAGTTTTACCAGCAGCTGGTAAGAAATTATTTTACAAAATTGTAAACGCCATCTTAACAATTTCTCGATCTAATAGCGTTTATCACTCTTTGGTAGATTACACAAGCTACCTACATATTTTTCACAAAAAAATACCAGATATATAGTAACACTTATAGAAGACAAAAAAATAAATCAGTCAAAAATGTTCGTCGATTCTACGGACAACTCAAGTATTGTGACCTTCATGGCGATTCGTTGTGATTTCAGGTCCTGCTTTGGTTGTCCACGGTCCAGCAGGTTGGGTTGAATCAAGCTACACCCTTGCAGGCCCAGCGGTCGTTCCTGGTGTAGCTCCAGCTATTACCGGAGGAATTGGCGGTGCTGCAATTGCTCCAGGAGCTAAATCTCTCCTAATTGCAGGAGAGGGGGAATACGGTCATGATAATATAGAAGCTCTTTACGATGACGGCTCTTACAGGGAACACTGAAGTACTGTGATTTTTTTGAAACTAAATATAACCAAATATTTATCTATAATATATGACATGTCTGTTCACTGATTTTTTTATTAAACATTATCAGACCGGTTCGTAGGGGCTTTGTTTTAGGTCTAGCTGTCTGTCAAGACTAAAGAAAGATGATGGAAGTGACCTTTCCAGCGCCTGATTGGATTTCAGAAAATTATTTTTGATAATAACTAGAATGCTGGTCAAATAGTACAGATCCAATTAGATGATTCGAGCAATAAGTGGCAGAATATATCCATTGAAGTACATGCTTAACAAGTTCATTAACAAAAACATGCAACAGTTTTAAGCGGCACTGGCTTCATCTATATGACTGTAAAACGTAGAAGAATATATCTACCACACAATACGTCCAAGCGACAATAAAGGCAACATGTACGTAACCATAATAGACTGAGAGCCAGAGAGGTACATGATTCCAACTATAAAAAATGTCTATAAGATTACGGTAGCAGCTTCAACAAAGAGAATATCAGTGTCATTACAATACAACACAGATTTTCGACGCCTAGGTCCTGTTAACGACATGAAGTAACGAATACCCTTTGCACTGACCCCGAAGTGATGCTGAGATACTGTCAAACATTATGGTTATTGAACAAAAAATTGCGTCAGTAGATTGACTCTATACTTTGTATGCCTTCATCGGAAGAAGAAAAAGAATGAGTCAAATCGTATCAAAAGGCGACACCGAATCGTCGTTAGGTAGGTTCAGAACCTTCGACCTCTGCATATCAAACAATACAAAGCAAATCTATCATATTTTTATTTTCATGACAGATTCAGGGAAAATATAGTAACACTGAGATCATCAGCTTCTTCATAATAGAAAGTTATTCACTGACACCAAATACAGGGTGGCGCATCGAAAACGAAACAGACGCATTTACTGGCTGCTCAGTTTTTTTTTGGAAAAACGCTCAGACCCGTCGATTTTGTATTCGAGGGAGACACAAGTTTGGTAAAAAATCACGTGAACACGTGCAGGCCCCTGGGCGGGGGTGACACCAACCCTAAAATCTTAAATGGAAAGGGGGGTCGAGTGACTCCTTATTTCAAAGGTGTTTCAATTCCCTTTATAATGATATAAAATTAATGTACTTCAGTTCAGTAGTTTTGAAGATTTATTGATTTAAAGCTTAAAGTAGACTAATAGGTACATCAGATTAGTTTGTACTACTTTCAGACGAAATTTGACTTAACAAGTAAATGCTTCATTACGCCATTGGTTTGTTTAACATTTTGTTGTTAAAAATAGCTATTGGAGCGTTTTTTTTTATGGCAAACTAATTATTTCTTGAAGAAAGATAAGGAAATATCTCGTACTTATTTTAAATAGGAATTTAGTACATAGTTTGCGATTGATATGACCAAACTTTGTTGCTAAAATAACTTGTAATGTAATCCACAGCAGAAACAGCTGAAATTATTGAAATATTTTTCGGAAATAATCAGTGCGCTAATAGAACAGCAGAAATATTTAATGAGCGACATGAGAACAGTAACGTGCATCGAAAATATGTTCTAGAACTTGTAGTTAAATTTCGGGAAACTGGGTCAGTCACCAATAAAAAACGTAACATTGAAAATCCCATAAGGAACGAAGTAATAGAAGTGGGGGTTTTAGGGCAAGTTCATGTATACGTATATCCTACGTTAAGTACCCACAAATTGGAGACAGTGTGTGGTGTTAGTCGACGTACTGTCCAACGGATTCTGAAGGCCCATAGTTTTCATCCGTATAAAATTCACCTGGTACAAGAACTTAATGAACACGATTTTGTTCAACGATCTTTTTTTCTCACCTATAAATCTGACCGGTGAAATGTATTTGGAATTACTGGAAGACGCCATAGATCCTGCATTAACAGCCATAATTGAAAATCAGAATGATCGGCGGTACATTGCGGATAGGTTGATGTTCCAACAGGATGGTGCCCCATCACGTGTTCGACAATATTTAGATCAGGCGTTTCCAGATCAATGGATTGGTCGAAGACGTGCCATTGGATGGCCCCCAAGATCGCCAGGTTTATCTATTTTGGATTTCATTATGTGGGGTCATTTAAAAAGCAAAATCTATGCTACTAGCCAACATCATTAGAAGACCTGCGACAAAGAATTGTGAATGAGTTTTGAGAAAAAATTTTATTATTGCATGGAGAGTCATGGTGGCCATTTTCAACATTTACTTGCCTAACGGGTCAGTCCATTCTTCATTTCTAAATTACTTTGCTGCCAAATGTATTGATCTCCACTAATGATTATGTATTAGTTTTATTTAAGCTTTAAATCAATAAATCTTCAAAACTACTGAACTGAAGTACATTAATTTTATATCATTATAAAGGGAATTGAAATACCTTCAAAATAAGGTATCACTCGACCCCCCTTTCCATTTAAGATTTTAGGGTTGGTGTCACCCCCGCCCAGGAGGCTGCACGGGTTAACGTGATTTTTTGCCAAACTTGTGTCCCCCTCGGAAACAAAATCGAAGGGTCCGAGCGTTTTTCAAAAAAAAAACTGAGCTGCCAGTAAAGCGTCTGTTTCGTTTTCGATGCGCTACCCTGTATTTAACAATTTACAACTATTTACCGCTTACAGCTTCCAACCTACAATATTCAAGCACTCCAAACGATGTCTGGAAATGAGCAGGAATCTCTGACACGTTGTGACATTATGCTCCAGCGATTTTCTTTCAGGCGCATCTAAATCAATTTTCAAAATCTCTGGTTAACTAAATGATGGAAGTCTTAAACTCGCTGTAATATTCGAACTTCGGTTCACAAGTTGTCTGTTGCTGCATCACTCAAGTCCCGTTTATGTCGGTTTGTCAGTCCGTTTCTGTTGTATACTACGTGACAGAAAAAGGTAAACGGTATGTTTCCACTACTTCCTGAACATAGCGTCGGGCTGTACGAAAACTGAACAGCCACCACAAAAACAGAAAAATATGATCAACTTATCACTTGTTGTTCATGGCAAGATAAATCGATATGTAAAAAATTCTTGAATTCTAATAAACATACGTAATTGTTTACCTTTTTCTGTCACTCAGTATATATCAATGCGTCATAAGTACTGAGACAATCTACTTGACGGAATATTCAGAGAACCATCATGACGCTAACTAAACGTTATGCGAAATGGGTGGTACATTTGAGGAACATAAAATTCAGATATAAAAACGGTTGTCATCATTTACAAAAGCATCGCATAACGATAAATTTCTCTTCAAGGCCGTGAATTGAAACAATCGCCATGCCGGAAGGTTTGGCAATTATGATGCAGGTTGGATTGTTAGTCTTCAAGCTTCGTCTTCAATTGTAAATGTACACTATAGCCTATGTATTTTTTTCGAAAAGCTAAGATCAAATTATATGTTGTACCTCTTGGCCTATATTGTCCAGCAGCATCGAGCGTAACGTTCGGCCTTCGCAAACGCCGACCGATCATTTAAATGATCTGCGAAAAAAATTGGAACTGGATCATGATCTCGCATGCGTGACCTTGCTTTGTGTCTCTTGTAGTTCCTTCTTTGAGACGTAGGGCGTGGACCACGGGCACCACCAGCTATCGCAATTATTTCGATGTCGACGGCGAATTCCTCGATACTGGTATCTCATTAATTCTTAACTGGTAGATATAATAATAGCTTGGACTGTTCTCCCGGTAAAGTACTACGTGTCCACTACACCAGATGTTCTTTTATTGTACTCGAAGCGAAGTATTATGTTTTGATGATAATCTAAAAGCCTACTTTATCATTATTAACAAACTACAATACTGTGGCTTATATGGGATAAAGAACATAGACAATGGACACCTCAACAATGGTGTGCAATACAATGGAGTGATGAGGCCCGATTCTAAGTTTGTGTTGGTGACAGTCGCAGTAGAGTTATTCGCAAAAAAAATGAAGCATTCCATGTTGACTGTCTGAAGAGAAAAGTGAAATTTCCAGCATCCATTATGGTCTGGGGCAGTATGTCATCAAAACGAGTAGAAAAACTTTTATTGATGGAAATGTGGATACAAACAAATATTTGGCAATTTTATAAGAATCGCTTTTACCAGTGATGGAAGAATGTTTGACATCCGGCCAAGATTTTGTGTTTCAGCAAGATGGTGCAGCGTCCCATACCTCAAAAAAGGCTATAAAATGGATGGAAGAAAATAATGTACCACTTTTAAAATGGGTTTCCAGCAGTCCAGATCTGTCACCTGTTGAAACTTTGTGGCACGAGATGAAAAAGGTTCTACGACAACATCCTGCTCGTACAATTACCGAACTGAGACAAAAGCTTCAAGAAATATGGGATTGTTTTACACCAAATTTTTGCCAAAACTTGGTTAACACTATGCCCCAAAGAATTTCAGCCATAATAAAAAATTAAGGTGATGTTACCTAATGGTAATATTTCAATTGTTGCTTTGTTAACTTCGCGCATTTATTCGTACATTGTTTATTTGTTCAGATGTTCTATTAGTTATAGGTCTAAGTGATTTCAAATATGTATTTTTTACGACTAGAGTGTATCTAAAATATTTTTGAGAAAATAAATTGTTTTAGAAGTAAATAGCTTATAATAAAGGCATATTTTGGTAGAAATCTTGAAGTAGGCCAACTGAAGTGGGAAGGTACACGTAGAATACGTTTATCAATGTCCTTAGCCAGTTCAAAACTTAAACAAGATATATACCTACTTGGTAGTCTAGTATTTGGGATCTTTTTTGTCGGCTGCTAGACTAATAGATGACGTAATTGCAAAGAAATTATAATACCGAAAAAAACTCAATGCGATCACTAATTTACCTTGGACATCTAAAAGCCAGAAACTGCAATGGCCATTAACCAATTCTTTATTTTTATAGTTTTTTTCTAATTACTTATAAACTCATTATTTCCGTTTCTCAAGAATTTGTCACAGCTAATAGACGTCGGTCAATTTTCGTAATCCTATATTATGTACGAAATTTCAGCCTCAAAGCTAGACCAACGTTCTGTTATCTGGTATATTTGTTCATTTATATATTATTACAGATCATATTCGAGATTGAACACCACGCATAAGGTCAAGGGCGTAGCTGCCTTGACCAAATGTTACTTCTGATTTATTAAGTACATATTTAAATATTATCCAACAAAAATTCAATTTTTCTTGATAATTAAACTTCATATATGCATACATTTTTTGTTTCTTAGACAAAATGCGGTCAAGTAGTCTGACTGAACCTTCCAAGCATTTCTGGACTAATAGGCAGGACCAACTTTTGTATAATCTGGTATCCTTATTATTGGACTCCTGAAAATTCTTGTATCATGACAGAAGACCGTAGGGCAGGAATGAATATTTTAGAATTGTCGATTTAGAAAAATCGAATTTATGGATTTGTAACTTCTGTACATTCTCGTATCTTTACGTAAGGTAAAGAATATCGCGTATTTTTGGGTAGTAGGTGTTGCTTGATTCGCCGACGTAAATATTATGCTAAAGCGTCTTTCAATGATACCAAATATGCAATACTTACAATCCCCCTACAACTCAAAATCCGCAAACTTTTAAATCATCATACGTTTTTTTCTGAAAATGATTAGGAACTCCTATAACGAGGTTTGGGTGTCGGATTCATGTCCAACTAACATATACGCGAAACAATATTCAATAGCCTGTCCGGCAGATGATGCAGCAGTGGTTTTGCAAAATATACACTTCAGTCAATCATTGCCAACACTTATTACAAATGTTCAATTAATTTGCAAGAGGATATACAGGGTGTTCCTTCGAAAAAAATAAAAACCGTTCAATTGTCCGAGAAAATTAATGTAATAATTGAAGAATACAATTTAGCAATAAATATCTAGTTGCTCTGGAATATGTCACTGGCTTTTGACATCTGACAAGTCTCTCTAATTCAAATTTGTTCGCCGTGACATCTTTTTCATTATTTAGTTTTTACAATCTTGTTAATAATGGTGAATTATTCAAATGCAAAAATGGCGGAAATGCATTACGTATATGACCTTGCCGACGGTAATCGTGAGTAAGCCAGACGGATTTATCACCAGAGATATCCCGATCGTGCTTTGCCAGATAGTCGAACCTTTTCTAATATCATCGTCGTCTCGTTGAAACTGGTTCTGTTCGAAAAGGAACATCTGAAGGTATACCTCGAAGTGTGAGAACACCTGAAATTGAGGAAGCAGTGGTGTACAGTTTTTTCTTATAAAATATCGAAGTCAATACCCGTACGCATGCCACTGTTAAAGCTAAAAATAATTTTTGCATTGGTCAGCGGGCGCAAAAGGGTCTCGAGGCTGTCCACTAGAGAAGTGTCATCGATCAGTCGAACGACGTAGTCGGGAACGCAGAACCCACAACGTGTGCGATCTAAGCAAGTAACCTGGCTTTTTAGCGGGATTGACGTAATCAAAGTGCAGTACTCTGTTTGGATTGATAGTTCAGTATTTTGTTGATGTAGTTCTGAAATAATATACTAATTTTACAGTCAATGAATTCTGAGATCATTATCATATCAACATATGTAGGTATAGCCTAGATCATTGTCTCCACATGCCATTTTTCGCACGTCACGTTTGTCCGTTGGCGAAAACCTGATTGTCTGGCATGTCGGTTCGACGTCCGCCCAAATTTTTCTCGCAAAACGCGGAAACTGACTCTGCTTCAACCAGATTCGACATCAGTTTTGGGAGCGGACAAGGCTGTTATCCGCTAAAAGCGCTATATAAATTCTTTCCCGGCACTTTTGGTTATCATTCGTCCGCAAGACAATCAGAACAACAAACATGAACGCATTCGTAAGTAGTTTTTTTTGCTATGAGTGATTCGGGAAGTGATTTTTGATTGAAGATGTTTGCGGGAGAGGAAATGGTGTTTCGAGTGAGGGGGGTTATGAAGTGACATACACGGTGGCGCAAGAATATGGAATTTGATTACACTTTCTTTTAATGGACTTTTGTTGAAATTTGGTATTAGAGCAACTATTATACAGGGTGGTTCAAAAAACAAAAAAAATTGTATTTCGAAGGCTCAAAGTACGTCCAAAATCGAGACACAGGGTGTTAAAATCATCATTTTGAAATCGAAACAGTTATCGTGGACAAATACAATTTTCTCAGCTCAAAATACATCATAGTGCTATAGAAATTGGGATATTTTCACACCTATAGAATAAAAACATTTTCTATGGTGTTTTAAAATTTTTTCAAACATACTTCGCTTCACTTAGTTATAATGTATTTTCACTTGAATTGTTTCTCTCCTTAGAATATATTATTCCTTATGAAAAACGAATGGTTGAAACGTGCGAGGAAATCCTGTATATTAAATTAAAACTACTTTGAAAATACGCTGCAGCTAGTGAGACTTGACAAAGAGAAATTGTATACTTCTTAAAAAACAAATACAGATTGAGCTTTTAATTGAGCAGGCTATATTTACTAGACTGCAATTTAAAAGTAAATAGTTTTGAATGTAAACAGTTATCTAGCATCTTGTATATGCCTCGTTGATTTCAAAATCAAGATAGGCCGTGCCATTTACTGACAGTTCAGTCAGTTATCTAAACAATCGCCTGCAATTATTACGATATTCATAAGATTTAGTTACCAAGTGATTGTGTGAAAGAATGTTTGTATGCATAGGATGATAAAGAATGAGAAGAGTGTCTGTTGGGCGTTTTTCAGTCTAGTTATATTAGAAACGGCTACATTGACGTTGATGAACGGTTAAGCTGTGACGTCTTAGTATTATTAATCAGTTCAGTTGAGGATGAGTTATAAAAGACTTCGTACTCATATTTCGTTTTTTATAGGTTTGTGATAATTTTTTGAACGTAGTCAATCATTGTTTTTAGTGTAAAAGTTTCTGAAAATTTAGAAAATCCGTTTCAGTTATTTTAGAATTAATAGTCACTTCAATGCGACTGAAAAATTGAAACCAGATGTGGACGAATGCCGAGCCAGCCTACTTTTCTCAATATATCTGTAAATGACGATCCTCTATTTTGCTTTCCAGGCAGCAGTTTTCGTCCTGGGTACCGCCGTTCTATCTTTCGCGAATGCAGGCGTGATCCTACCTCACGCATTGTACGCCCCAGGTACGATAGCTGCACCGTACGCTGCGTTCGTCCAAGGACACGAAGGCCAGTACATCCCTGACCATCTGGAGCACCTCTACGATAACGGGCAGTACAGACCGCAACTCAGGGCCGTACCACTGGCACCATCCCCATACGGGCTCACCGTTGCCGGATCAGGCTTGGAAGGGCAGTACGTACATGATTACACTGAGAAACTGTACGATGATGGATCGTACAGGCCTGAACTGAGGGCAGCACCGCTCGCTCTGTCTCCGTACGGATTGACAGTCGCAGGCTCTGGACTTGAAGGCCAGTACGTACCGGATTTGACGGAGAAGTTTTACGATGATGGGTCGTACAGGCCGGGATTTGATCATCACTAAATTGTTGACCGTTTAGATTAGTTTGTATAATAAATTGAAAATTGCCAACTTGAGGATTTTATTTTAGACTCCTACAAAAACAGGTGGTACCCCCAGGGAGTGTAATTTATAACGGTAGATGTAGAGGTTATAAAGCTTATAGAAAGGTTTGCACGGTATTTGAGAAAAGGAAAAATAATTATCAGTTTGGGAGTCAAACTGTTCCTAAAATCGAATGCCCTGATCATTTCGTCTTAATTTATCAACTCTGCTTTTTTTCCCATATACTTTTGGATAGTTTGATCACCAATTAATTCTGCTTAGCAGAAGAAAAGTTGGACATCGCTTGCTTAATTTGATTCTAATCGGTGGCGAGGAATTTTAAGAACACTTTGTTAGTTACATTAAACTTCTTATTGGTGTCTTCTGAAAACGACAGACGTATTTTCCGAATGTAAATATAAGTCGATCTATAGATTAAGAGTTTAATTTTGTAAGACGAGAGACTGCAGAAATCCGAGGAATTGACCGTTGTAGACCATTAATTTTTCAAGAAGCTTCCATTGCAAGTAAATCGAATATCACCGTTTTCGTTTAAAAATAGAAAATTATGTCATCATTTCACTGTCGTTGAAAATCCTAGAAAATACAAGAGTCAGAATGGACCTCATCAGCAGCCATGGCTACTACTATCAATAGTTTTCGGTATAGTTTCATTTTTGCCAGAACAGCATGTATATATTTAGTAATAGGAAGTGTCAGCTAGATTTCCGGCAAATAAATCTATTGAAAATTGTTGATTATGAAATTGAAAGAACTTGTTAGTACACCTGATAATATCCAAAACCGTTGAGGTGATAACAATAGTTTTACAAATCGTCGCTTTAATGAATTAGTTATTTATGTACGAAAGTGCAATCGTACAATTTATCGTTTGTTGCAAAACGTGCAAAAACGCAAGGAATTCATAGTTCTCAAACCGAAGGAATAAAAATGACTGAATCTTATTCTGATTTTTAATTATTCTTCTAACTGATCGGTATTAAAACACAAACTTAAAGGAAAAATAGATTTATTGAAAAAATAGTTGACAGCACATAACAGTAAAGACAGAGAGAGAGAGAGAGAGAGCGAGAGAGAGAGAACGGAAGAAGAAGATAAAAGTATACACAGTATATATACATTACTTATCTACATACAGCGCATGAAAAAGAAGAAAGCAAATGATATAAAAAAATAAAAATTTATTTAAGAGACCAGATTTGAAATTTACAAGAACTAATATAATAAATCTATTTTCCATGGTGTCCATGCTCCAAAGTGTCAGGGATCCACTGTCCTCCCAAAGCACCTTCGAGAGCGCCCCTGGAGGCGAGTCCGTGTCCCAAGCCGAGTCCCAAATGTCCGGCTCCAAGTCCCAGATGTCCCGCTCCAAGTCCCAGACCGTAACCAATCGCAGCTGGTGCTACGATTCCGGCATGTCCGATGATTCCAGCGTGGCCGATGCCAGCTCCGCCATGGACCGGTACATCGGGAATCCACTGGCCTCCTAGAGCTCCCTCAAGGGCTCCTCTGGCGGAATGGCCATCGTCATAGCCTCCATAGTAGCCTCCCGCTGAGGCGGAGGCAATCGCGGCTACGACAAAAATGGCGACGGACTGGAAAGCAAATGTTTCTTAAATTAGAAACGGGTTCTTAAATGCAACAAATCCAACATTGATCAACTGCCATAACGAAAAAAGTAGATTGACTTCATACTCTCATATATATATATATATATATATTTTGACTACGCCCGAAAGTATCCGCAAACATGACAACAAAACTTATATCGTTGTCAAATGAAACAAGTTTAAAGTCTAATTTTTTGGGATTTGAATGTGACTTTTTAATGATTTAAATTTTGAATAATCTTCATAGTTCATTAATCATAATAAAGGAAAAAGCCTGAAAAATTGAGATTATTTTAGAAGGAAATAGGGTTAGCAGTATACATATAACTTAAGCAGAATAATCATACTACATATCTGTCATTGCTTATTACTAAAAATAATATTGAGTTGCATTTGGGATGTTTGTGTTGAAAAACGTACACCTTGGAAAATGATTTTGGTGGGATACAAGAAAGCTCTTGTGATTTCGAGAAAAGCAGATAAGACAAAAATGACCCATTCAAGTAGCGTAGTCTATGCCAAAAGTCATCAAAATCCAGGATCGATGTTATTTAGGCAATGATATTATTTGAAAGAGGAAGTAGTATAATGACTTACGAGGTTTATCCCCACAATAAGCATTTAACTTTAATAAAGAACGTTCAGTGACAGAAAAATGTTGGAAAAAATGGTCCGATGGTTTTTACAATACCAAAGTTTGGAAACCTGAGTACGCCTAGCAATGATCAAAAACATATAAATAAGAAGTTTTGAAATTATTATTTTTTGTTTGCGCTCCCGGCGTAGGTATCTGGAAAAGTGCCAATAGATAGTTCGACAGAAATGAATGGATTGTAGAGTAACTTTGAAAAGTAGAAATCGCATAAGCAAATTAAATATAATCGAGAATTTTTCAAATTCGAGGTAAGAAGTTTTATTGATATAAAATATTTCAAGCTTTGCCTACCAAACATTTTTTAACTTTCTGACCATTCTGTGTGTAGTCATACATTCAAACATTCGAGTTACATATTAATAAATACTTCAAAAATATGTTGGATGATACAACTCAGGTCAGAACAGGGAATTTGAAATTCAATGTATATGAATCTATTGAAAGTTTTGAGTTAACCTAACCATACATATTTCCATTACAGTTTAAATAAGACTATCGAAGGATCTAAAATGTTAACGAACTTTGTAGTTTTTATCATTTATAGATATATTAAAAGTACTGTAAAAATCACAATATTCTTATAACTGATTCATTTTCAAGAATCCACTTTATCCACAACATCGCACTCCCTAAGCCACAAGATACTCAACATAGTAATTTAGTAAAAAAAGACGTTGGAAATTGCATACTTACCAATGCGTTCATTTTGTTCTGGTGTTGTTGAACAAGTGATAGCTACAAGTGCACTGCCCATGCATTTTATAATGGCCGATAACCTTGCCACCTTCCTATGTGACCAACGCCCTACTACACCACCTATTTGCATCTAGCATGCGAAACGACTAGAAAAAAAAACACAAAAAACATAGGAAAAAAGGCACGTAGCATACGCCAGAATTGCGCGATCAATAGGGATCAAATCGGGTCGTCAGGATGGACTTAAGCAGACATGCTTTGATCTTCATTGTTCATACTATAGGTCATTTCATGATCATGAAATTACTCGATATGTTGCGTAATAAGGATATAATTAAAATAGTTTAGTGTAAGACGTCAGTAGATTGGTATCTTCTAATATTACATTTCTTTTGAAGGTGCTGCTGCCAACAGCTGATTCTTCGATCTATTCCGCATACGTATATTTTTGCTGATTCATCACAAATTCGTCGGATTTTAGGGATAAAGCATATAGCTATCCACATATACAGGGTATTTCAAAACTAAGGGATCAAACTTCTAGGAGTTATTCAGTGTAACAGTAGAAAACATTTGAGTATAGGGACCCATATCCGGAAAGTGTCACTACGCCACTACGACCCTAAGACGTGTTAAATCGTGTGAAATCATTCAAAACGAGTATCAAATTTTTAGTCAAGTCCGCCGAGGAACCCATTTTAAACAATTGTTGTTCGAATGATATCATGTACAAAAGGCAAAAATTAAATGCTTTAAATCCGATTTAGGCAATTCATAGTCTTTCTGAATTTTAACGCGTCTTAGGGCCGTACTGTTTTCTACTGTTACACTGAATAACCCCTACAAGTTTGATCCCATAGTTCTGAAACACCCTGTAGGTATTTGAAGTTTTTGAATCGTTATCTGAAAAGTATTGATCTAGTTCACTTTTTAGGTACAAATATAATAGCTCAAGTCTATAGCATTTTCATTGATTTTGTTGATTTCTTGGAGTAATTTTCACATGTTTGGGAAGCTGGAACGTCGTCTGCACTGCATAAAACAGTTTTTTGTTGAAAGACATATTCATCACACTGTTGGAGTTATGGTTTGGAGTGCTATAGCCTATGGTTCCAGGTCACCTTTAATCTTCATCAGAGGTAACATGAACGCGCAGAGTTATATCCACGAAGTTCTAGAACCCCATCTTTTACCCTATCTTGACACCCTGGCAGATCCAACTTTCCAACAAGATAATGCCCGACCAGATGTTGCAAGAGTCACAATAGACTTCTTTCAACATAATGATGTCACATTGTTACCATGGCCACCAAGATCTCCTGACTTATCCCCAATTGAGCACGTGTGGGATATGATGGGTAGGAGATTGCTCAATTTGCTACGTCCTCCTCAGACTCTAGAAGCACTTCGAGAGGAGTTGGTGGTTGCCTGGAATGAGATACCACATGAGGACATTGACCACCTGATCAGAAGCATGCCTAGGCGCGTTGGAGAATGCGTAGCACATCAGGGTGCATCCACACATTATTAAAGGTCAAAGGGCTTTAAAGCAGTGCAATAATTTTGAAATCATTTACTTATTATGCTTCATTAAGTACTTATACAAAATTTTATTAAAATAAAACCATTTAAACTGGGTGTTCGGATTTATATGTCACTTAGTATATTTTAATAATCCTTCAAATCACCCCGCCAAATGTGTAGGTATACAGCATGAAAATCTAGTCTATTGTTTTGATTTCTTATATTTATCTGTGAATAAAAACAAAACTACAAAGACTAAATCAAATTCGACAGACCAGTAAATTTACTGTTGTGGTAATGGAGCTGCTTATTTTGGGTGAGTGACTTTCTTTAAGGAACTGCATTGCGAACAATGTGGTTTATGAAATTGTGTGAGGTGTTTCATAATGCACTTATTCCATTTCCTTTCACAGACGCAGATCGTTATCTCGCGTTCCACGAACCTCAATAGTGCGTGCTTGTTAAAAAAACAAATGCGTAAGTTATATGACAAATACTAGTAAATTATGCAAAAAAACATATTGAATCTATAGGTTTTGTTATTATGTATAAATACAAAAAGATTAAAAGAATTCTCAAAACAGAAAGTAGATAATACTTTCAACCAGGATTAGTGGTTCAGTCATGGGTCATATTTTACATAATTTTGCTGTTCCGTCTGTATCTGTAGAATATTTTGAACTACTTAGTTTACATTCTACAAAGATGAAAAAAAAATCAGTGACTCAGCTAGACAGTTTAGGAAGAAGAACCAGTCTAGTGTATAATTTTCATATATCGTATCAGCCTACAACAGCTATCGATAGTTATTTATAAAAAATGCCTAATATGGATCAAGCAATCGTGTTGTAGACAAGTGGGGATTAATAAAAGTGGGGAACTTGACGTTTGCTCATAGAAATGAAGTATTAACATTTCAGCAGTTAGCAGTGAGCTTTTGATGTGGATAAAGCTCCAAAGGTAATTTTCTTATGTTTATCTTCCAAGTATGCTTTTGCAGTTGAAGTTTACCTTATAACGACTAAAACACTGTCTTATTGTTTCCACAAAATACGTCTAATTATTCACTGGCAAGCTATTTTATCATTCTGATTGACATGACTAGGGTATTTACTAATTACCCAAAAAGCATTTTTTGCAGTTGCATTATTTATTTTTACTCCTGCCTATTCGAGTCCAATAAGTATCAAAAATAAGAAATGCTTTCTAAACTTGTTCTACAGGGTGTTCGAAAAATAGACGGAGATACTTTAGAGGGTGATTTCTTGTTCAAAAATATGAAAAACACTTTCTATAAGGGTTCGGAAATGTGTTTTCAAGATACAGGGTGATAAATTTATTTTACTTTTCCTATTAATATCTTAAAAAATATCTTATTATTTGTTGTGTTGAGAGGCTAACTTTTTAATTTTTGTTTTCCAAGGCACTTGTGATTTTTTCAACCAATTTTGTTCAGTGACATGCAATAAAACGGTTTTTATCTATTCTCTCGAAAACGAAGTGAGATACGGAAAAATACAAGAGGCAAAGAAGTTATATTTTTAGATGTTTAATCAAACAACAAATATTAAAGTTATAAAAAAGGCAGTGGCCTACATCTTTTTTGCCAATAATATTCACTAATATGCCACCGGGGCGCCTATGGTCCTAATAATTTCAATCTATTCGGGTCTGGATTAGCCTTTTGATACAACAAATAATATTGCTAAATTTCAACAGAATCGAGTAAAGATATTAATGAAAATAGGTAATTAAATTTATTACCCTGTACCTTGAGAACTCTGTATTTACGGATCCATGTTTATACACACTTTTTTTCATATTTTTCACCCTCTAAAATATCTCCCTCTATTTTCCGAACAGCCTGTATATTATGAAAAGCAGGACTTTGACAGGTCTATTCTATTAATAGTTTTTTTAATCCTCTATGAGCAAGATTAAAATTACGAGTATTTTTTAAAATGAGTTTCGTGAGATTCTACTTACCTCAATAATTTCAAGTATTTGTAAATATGTATTATACTTGATTTGTTCTTATTAGTCCTCTAATTATAATAAAAAATCAAAAGTTTCCACGGTAGTTTCACGTTCTTTGAACTGACTAATAATCAGATATATATTTTTATAGTATCATTCAAATTCGAAAGTTCAGATGACCTCGCATTATTTAAATCTCCAGAAAAAATGTGAGTCAATCTGGAAATTATGTAAGCAGACAGTTCATTGTCTCAAATATGAATAACTAAAAATGAACAATTTACGTGTGACTTTAATGGTAGCGCAAGCGATAAACGTGTGTTGGAAACATACATAGGATACGCGTGCATATCTTTGAAAGAGATAAAAAATATCGACGCAAAGATAGAAAGGCTGCAGTGATTGTATCGTTGACATTGTGGGAACTGAGAATAGGAATTTATTATAATTCAGGGTGTTGTACTTCTTTGTTCGATTTTGCTACTCAGGTTTTTATTTCCTAAACACTTCAACTACTAATAAATAGTTTAAAATCCTGTAAGTGTTTTTGATTCTCGATTCATTTGAAAATATCGAACAAGTTTTGGAGAATGACTGAAAAATGAATGGCGCAGGCTGGATTTTGCACAGTTAAAAGGACCAGAGCCTATGTGTGATGTTTTTAGACAAGAAAATATTTCATATTTTAGAACACTGCTTTTTATTTTTATACTTGTGTGTTATTTAAAACGCTAAACTTCGTCATTTTTGCATTTTTGTCCAAAATTAACCCATTTTCAAATATTTTCTATAATACTCTTATTCTATGATAAAAGACACTGACACTGTGTATGAACCTCATGATAAATTCTGGGATTAGAATCGGACCAATATCGGCAGTTATGACGAGTTACTACGCCAGTTAAGAAAAAAAAACATTCGTCGGAAAAGCAAGTGTTGAATAGAAAATGTTCATCGTTTATAATTCGTTCACTCATATCGTCACAAAATTGTAATAGCCGATCACTAATCGTCTTCATTAAGTTCTTGTACCAGGTGAATTTTATACGGATGAAAACTATGGACCTTTAGAATCCGTTGGACAGTACGTCGACTAACACCACACACAGTCTCAAATTTGTGGGTACTTAACGTAGGATCTACATATACTTGCCCTAAAACCCCCACTTCTACTGCTTCGTTCCTTATGGGATTTTCAACGTTGCGTTCTTTATTGTCGGCTGACCCATTTTCCCGAAATTTAGCTACAAGTTCTAGAACATATTTTCGATGCACGTTACTGTTCTCATGTCGCTCATTAAATATTTCTGCTGTTTAATTAGCGCACTGATTATTTTCGAAAAATATTTCGATAATTTCAACTCTTTCTGCTGTGGTTAATTTATGTAATAAAGCGTTACACGTTATTTTAGCAACAGTTTGGTCAAATCAATCGCAAACTACGCACTAAATTGCTATTTAAAATAAGTACGAGACATTTCCTTATCTTTCTTCAAGAAATAACTTTTTTGCCACAAAACGCTCCAATAGCTATTTTCAACAACAAAATGATGAACAAACCATGGACGTAGTGAAGAAAAGCATTTACTTATTAGGTAAATTCTTTTAGTTAAATTTCTTCTGAAATTAGTACAAACTAATCTGATGTACCTATTAATGTCTACTTTAAGCTTTAAATCAATAAATCTGCAAAACTACTGAACTGATGCTCATGTATTTTACATCATTATAAAGGGAATTGAAAGACCTTTAAAATAAGGTATGACTTGATCCCCCTTTCCATTTAAGATTTTAGGGTTGGTGTCACCCATGCCCAGGGGGCTGCACGTGTTAACGTGATTTTTCGCCAGACTTGTGTCCCCCTCGAAAACAAAATGGACGGGTCTGAGCGTTTTTCAAAAAAAAAAACTGAGCTGCCAGTAAATGCGTCTGTTTCGTTTTAGATGCGCCACCCTGGATATGTTCCGTGTCTTAGTGTCTTTTATTATAAATTTTTAATATAAAATGTTGCGACCATGCACTCGTACAGAAATAAAAAAAGTTAGATATCCAATAATGGGATTCAACAAAATGGCAAAATTTGAAACTTTGGTCTGATAAAGTATAATAAACCAAAGAAAATTGTAAAACGAAAGAATACTCGTATATGAATGCAAAAATTTCATAGGTACGATCAACTTGAATTTAAGCTATTTGCAGGGTGACAAAGCACGCCAATCCTTTATCGTCGATTCCAGTAAAAAATGAATTCGAAATTATAGAATAATACTCGGCGGAAAGTTGTATTCTGAAACGTCTGTGATGTAATTAATAACTGTTTACTCAAATAAATTATATTTACGATGAGCTCACATCAAAAGATTTTTCGCTCGAAGGTGGAGTTCGAAGTAACGAAATGACACGTACTCTTCCATTTATTCAAAAAAATAAATAAATAAATACACAGACAGACAGACGGACTCTCTGCAAATGCGCTAGATCACGTGGTGAGATACGTCACTACGTCAGGTACTCTCTGTCCCATGGTGGGCACCCTGATCGCGGGCGCAGGAGCGAATCTTCTAGGTTGAGGGGCGAGTACCAGTCTAGGGGGTGCCCCTGATGGGTGCGGCTGCTGGTAGCGGGGATAGAAGTCAGGGTAGTCGTGATATTCTTCGCTGGACTCTTGACTAGCTTCGAAGATGTCGCAACGGGCAGTGTGGAGGTACAGCAGGCACATCGTCATGCTCAAAGCTACCTACATTGACGAAAAATAAGATCTTTATTGTAGATCATTGTTTAAATATTTATTTTCCAGGATTACTCGACTGAGATCTAAGAGTCACAGTCGCTGCTTGAGGTCTTACCATGAGGACGCTTTAATTATCACTTGGAAATAACAGGAAAAAGCTGTCAAATATCAAAACGCCGGCGATACCCAATTTGGGCCGTTAATTACCCCTATTTAAAATAATGCTGAATTTGCTTTCTATAGGCAAAGTAGTGAAATAGAAAACAGAAAAGTAAACGACTATGCAAAGCCTTACATTTCGATTGTTCGAATATCGCATTTTCATTGAAATGAAAAATTAAAATTTTCCTGTCATTTCCATTTTCAAGTGATGTACTTGTGATGTATTAGTGACTGTATTTGAAGAAGATGTAATTGCTTATTTTAACTATGTATTTTCTATTTTTACAAGTAAATGTTTTTCATCATGTATGAGTTTTCTTTTTCCATCAGAGTTCCGAACTACTTTAGAATATACCGTTTTTCTAGTATGTACTTTTTTAAAATCCCCCTTTTTGGTGGAATTATCGAAGCATCGTTTTACTATTCCAAATAGGGTACATACAACGGATTTTTTTAAGATTGCTTCGATTTATCTAAGCGTATCAAACTTAGTTTGCAAAAAACCATTCGGGATGTAATTAACTCATCCAAATCATAAAATATGTGCTTAGCTAGACAAGGGTTGAACTGCCGGCCTTGCTTTCTAAAGACCCTTTGGATCGCACCAAGTCGAGTCCGGTGCAAAGAAAACAGCATCACTTGGAGAATACACACGCAAATTTTGGGCCAAATCTACCTAAATCACTTCAAATAGAACTACGCAACTTCTTTTGAATCATCACCTTATTGGAATCCCCAAACTTGTATTTGTACAAGATGAGATCCAGCATTACATTATTAACAATTTTTATTAGAAGTATTTTTCAGTTTCATGGAATGTTTTAAAATGACATGCTGCACGTTATTTGTTCCAACATTCCAGTAAAACAAAACAACAGATCAGAATCCAAAATTGAATGAGCTTTTACGCATAAAGCGTATCAGCAATCCAATACCAAACATACTATACATTCCATTCAAACATCGAATTTAATTTAAAAATAAGCACTAAAACTAATACAACAGTTTACAGACAAACATAGTTGGGTCACTGGCGGAAAACAGTTTATGTCCGGAATTATTAAGCGGCACCGCCCACATTTCCAGAAACAACATGTTTTTTTCGGACTTTAAAGCTGGATACAATTCCTCACACGACATGGTTGTTTTGATAGCCAACTGAAGACTGCATATATTGCAGTGACGATTAGGATACTTCAAATCATCTATGTACTCGAATATGGTAGATCGGTTGACTATTAGAGACAACTGGAATTGTCGCAAATGGGTTGATACACAACCAATAGTGAGCCGTTTCGTCTCTTCTCGTCAATCATCAATTTTATTTCTTCTCGCAGACCCCGTATTGGAATTTGTACATAGAGGTAGGATTTTTAAATCTGATTAAAAAAATGTCTAATACGTCATACATTGACATTTCCAAACCTCAACTATTCGAAAAATCTACATTGTCAAGTTGTCTTTGAAAATCACAGTTCATCGCATATTTATCTGAGAGTAATGAGCCAATATGAGTACACTTTTTATTTTGAAATCCCATCTCAAATAAAGTCAGGAACAAATAAAAACGATTTGAGGAACAACGGTTTCTTTCATCTCCGGAAATAGTCGGAATTACGAAACCTTCTAAGTGCCATTTTCTTAGTTAACTGAGTGCTCAACTTTGCTCCGATTTAACAGACTCCATATCTCTTACCGTTTCCGAGATCCCAATGGGGAGGGTCGAATTTGAAACATCAGAGAGTCTCACACTTCGGGCAGGATACTATCGAGTTCTGGTGTTCGAGAGAGGCTATGAAAGAATTGACGCAGCGGAATAAAAATGGAAGTCTTTTTTGCTATCCAGGCGGAAAGAAGAAGCTAATTTGACATTACTGTGATCGTACTGTTTGTATTCCATATGCTTTGGCAGGAACACTATGAACATATTCCAGCAGCTTTTTCGTTATACAAATCACACTGCGACAGAAACATCCACCATGGGTCTATTAAAATGCGTATTATATCGGCCAAAATTGCAGTTTAGTTAATGAGACCAGTTAATTTTGATTTTTTGGACTCATCCATAACCACCGGATTGCTTAATAATACGTATATATGTTAACCACTTAATGTCATTTAGAGCTGGTTCACACGTATGTATTTGTAATTTGATATTGCTGTAGAATATACCATGGTTAATTTATGTAATAAAGCGTTACAAGTTATTTTAGCAACAAAGTTTGGTCAAATCAATCGCAAACTATACTACTAAATTCCTATCTAAAATAAGTATGGGATAATTCCTTATCTTTCTTCAAGATATAACTTTTTTCCCACAAAAAAACGATCCAATAGCTATTTTCAACAACAAAATTATAAACAAACTATGGATGTAGTGAAGAAAAGAATTTGCTTATTAAGTAAATTCTTTTAGTCAAATTTCTTCTGAAAGTAGTACAAACTAATCTGATGTACCTATTAAAGTCTACTTTAAGCTTTAAATCAATAAATCTTCAAACTACTGAACCGAAGCTCATGTATTTTACATCATTATAAAGGGAATTGAAAGACCTTTAAAATAAGATATCACTCGACCCCCCTTTCCATTTAAGATTTTAGGGTTAGTGTCACCCCCGCCCAGGGGGCTGCACGTGTTAACGTGATTTTTTGCCAAATCTGTGTCCCCCTCGAAAACAAAATCGACGGGTCTGAGCGTTTTTCCAAAAAAAAATTACCTGTCACTAAATGCGTTTGATTCGTTTTCGATGCGCCACCCTGTATATTTCTAATCTAAGTTGGCTTTGATGAACATATTCGCGTTAGCGTCCCAAATAGTCAAAGTGTAAGCACGAATGATAAAGATGGAAATTTTACATTCAGGAACTTTAAAGTTTAAATATGCATTCTTGGACGAACATTTCAAAAATTGACAGCAAGCGCAGACAGCCACATTTCCCAACTTCAAACAAGGCATTTAATATTTTAGGAAATTTTGATGACGGTATTCGAAATTAGCGTTTCAAATTACCCGAGCGTGCCGTTTCGTTCAAAAACTTTAAGGAAGCTCTAAAAACTGCCTGGAAGACAAAGCTAAAGAAGTAAACCAATAAGAAGGTCTCAGATCAAACAAGACCGTTGTCATGCTTTACGAAGATGTTTGACCTCCCTTCTGTAACTTACATGTATCAATACTGTCAAGTAAAATAAGGCCTCACGTAAAAAAGCGAATATACATTGAGAAGAATTAACTAACACTCTACTTCAAAACACTGTTCGGTTCTGTAATAACATCAAATTAAACGCGACATCTAACTCTCGTGGGAGCTCTTTAAATTATTCCTAACGACCAACACGCTATGTAAATTAAGCGTCGTAACTAATTCCAAAATAAATTTGATTGTCTCACTTAACACCGAACTTAATTCACCCTATTCAGTTTGTTTTTATAAAGTCGAAAAAAGTACTCACGATTGCTTTAGAGACCATCCTGCCTATCGCTGTTTGCGTTCTTCTTTCCCTCTTTGGTCTTCAATTTCAGCGTAGTTTACAGCGCGAATGTTCAAATTTACATGTTTATATACTATATATATGTATATACTGCAATCAGTCAGCAGATATGACCTTCGCAAAACGTATTACTATGATTCAATAGGCCGGGCGCCACAAACATATATATGCAATCATTATGAAAGTTAAAAGAAAGTCACAACAAAAGGGGGTTTCTGACTAATAGAAGTAATGCCGTAATGCGGTTGAATAAGAAAATAATTGTTTATTTTTCCAAAAAAGATCGAGACATATTTATACGTCTATTCGCTAGGGTGTACGATCACAGCGCCACCTAGCGGATGTCGAACTGAAATATTTGTGCTTGACACGTGCAAAATAAAATAAACGGATACCAATGAAAATAACAGACATTTAGTCGATTTTAGGTCACAAACAAATCGAATTTAAAACTGACAATTCCATTTTTCTCTAACAAATGATGACAGCGGAATATTTTGCATGATGGCCAGTTCTCAGTTGTTACGCAGAACACCGAAAGCCTGTTCAAAAATACTACGCCCACGGCTCTTGAACGGTTTTCAATACAATACGGTTTTTTGAGTTTCTGATTTCAAATCTGAAGATCACATCAAGGATATTTTTAGAAAAGCGTAGCAGTTGATCCCAACCGAATGTTAATTACATTTTTCTGTTCACTAAGTCCGAGCCAGAAGTCAATTAGTCTGGGCATACCGAAGTTATTTTAGGGTCACTTTAAGGGCAGATTCAAAATAAGTCCGTAATTTGAGTCCAGATACATGTGGTATCGGTTTTCACGGTCGTTGACTCAACTCAGATGTCAATTTGCCTCTAGCAACACATTTGTGAAGGGAACTTCCATACCACGCAAAGACAAATTCGAAAAAGCTGAATAACCATTTCCGACCACCTGTCGCAAAGACTGACACTGCATTCTATCTTCAATTCCTCAAGGTTCACAAACATTATTTATTCCAAATGAGAAAGTAGGCGGGAGTTTATCAAAAACCTCTCTGGATAATATAAAGAAATGAAGCCAAGTTCAGTTCACGGTGTACATGAAGGTAACAATAATGATAGCTTTCTGTTAAATCAAATGAAAGTTCCTACTATCTTTATTATGATCCATATTCAGATATTAAAATATTTTCAACATAGAACACAACGGATGATACAGTTTTGCCGTTAAAAAGTTGTTTCAAATGATATCGAACAAAAGGTTTTTAGTCCGCCATGGTAAGGATAGTAGATATAAGCGAAGTTCTGATTCGATGGTCAACTTATTGTTTAAGGGATTAACTCTAAAATAGGTAATAAATTTCATTCATTTTCGATTTTTGCATACATAAACTACTTTGTGACGTCAGAATACCATCAAGAGTCAAGTAAATTGAACAATGGAATCATTATTAATTTTCTTAGAAGGAGGGAGAGGAAGCCGAGAAATAATCTTGTTCTATCAAACACAATCTCACTTGATCCAGTATTTTGATATATGGCATTTAGTTGCAATACAGATACAATATAACCAGGCGGGACTGCACTATAATGTGTACGTGATCTACCTCGAATCAGCTTCTATCAATCTTGCCTTGTGAGTAAAAGAAACGGAAAGAAGATGAAGAATAAGCTCATGGCATGGCCAACTTCGATGACGTCGGTTATGTCCGGCAAGTGCACCGACACTCGCAACTCTTTTATTTCCGTGTTGCTTGACCGCCCTGAGGTTCGGATTTTTGCGATATCGAATCACGTTACCAGGGTGAAGGTCTGCGCGAAAAAATTGCAACGTCATAGCGAACGCCAACTAGAGAAAAAAATCGCTGGCGAGCTTGTGAAACACCTAATTTGGATAGGATATCGTTCTAGTAGTGGAATTTTATATAATCGTTGGTTAAATGTTTAAAAGTATAAATTATGGCGAAACAGTGTCACACAATTAGTTTAGTTTTGGGTTTGATCGGTGCCATTTCATGCATATGTTTGTTTACTTAATAGTCTGATTATCGCCGATGCGAAATGGAGCGTTGCATTATACTCATAACCTCTATAGACGGAAAAAATATAGGCGTGGTCAAAAAATACGATGAATAATTTCAAACGAATTTAAATTCAAGTATTCTCCTTGACTAACGATGTACTTATGTCAACGGCGGTTCCATGATTGGAATCATTTCTGGTAGGCTTCTTTCGCTTCCTTTTAGCACGGTCTTTATTTTTGAGAGAAGGCAGAAAACACGAGGTGCTAAATCCGTAGAATAAGACGGATATAATATAATGCGAAAAACCACTTTTGCCCGTTTTCGTAGGTGTTTAATGTCGAAGGACGTCCCGACGTTTGCTCATCCTGAATAGATTCATTCTCACTTTTTGATCACTGATACTTGTTGAACTTCCTTGATCCTTTTATGTAACTTAAAATAAAATGTTATGTTAATACGTTGTTAGAAACCCATTCTTTCAGTTATGAAACTGTAGAATATAATCGTCGCAACTTGTTCAAATTTAAAACAAACCATCTCAAAGGAGCCCTATCAAACGTGTTACTTCAAACAGATATATACAACAATTCCCGATATAAAAATCAATCTCCATATTTTTGATTATATTTCGTAGATATATGCGTATTTTGAAATTTCCTAAATTGTATACAAATATGCTTGTATGTATATATGTGTGAATAAGAATTTGAAAGCATATTTCTCAAAATACTATCTGACGATTAAACCCCCCCCCTCCAGTCCATTCAAGTGCCTGATTTCCGAATCATTCTACTTTTGGTGTCAGCCCGCCTCAAAATTTCAATCTAAGGAATTACTAACAAATGCAAAAATCAAAGAAACCAGGCATACCCTCCCGTGTTACACAGTGTAACTTTTCATTCACATAAAAATTTGCGAAGATTAAATGTTGGCAGCTCTTAAAGTATTAAACGTTAAACAACATACTCTTGCCCGCGACCTATAATATAATCGTTTCTATTTGTTAAGTCAGCGATGAATAGCTGTCAAACTCCCACACAAACCGTACGAAAAAAGTTATGTAACCAGGTGCGATCAGATTATAACCAGCTTGTCGACGATCATTTTTAAATCTTCCTACCAACAATAAATTCCGAATAAGCATAAGTGCAATGGTATAGAACATAATGCTTGACCTATTTATTGCGACCTTTCGGAAAGGGACTGTTATTGTTGGGTGAAAAATAGTTGTTTCAATGATCATATCTGTGCGTCTATGAACAATGCTGAATTTTGTTCAAGATGAATGATATTAGTAAACGGTGCGTAGCAGAATTCTCATTGGTCGATTGATTTTATGTGACGTCACTAGAGATCCGTGCTGTATCATGAATAACTTATTGGTCCTTTCGTTTGTACAATAAATAAACTGAAGAGACAAGTCGGTGAAAAACAAATAAAAAACATCGATAAAGACATGCAACAAGTCTCGTCGGCTCAATATCACAGATACGTTCGCCGATAGTATTTTTAAAAGAAGTGATGGTATCATTTGGTTATTTTCTGGCAATGTGCTAAATATATTAAGAGCTTTGGTCTGTTGATTTTAACCTAAAACCTTCTTTAGGTTCTGGTAAAATATTTATCCAGTAACAATATTTGCATCAAAGTGTGGACATGAATACATTTTCATATCTTGAGGCATATGTCACAGTCTATGAGAAGTACGTACTACGTTCCAAACTGTAGATGCTTATATTTCAGAAATTATACATAACATCGACAGCCAATCAATATTTGAACGGCCGATAGTTGTTGCTTGTTGATTAATAGCTGCATTTGCAGCGGCTAGTAAGGGCATATATTATTATTCATGTTGTCGTATAAATTGAAGCCTGAGCCTATCATCAACGGAGTAATCGCTCATCGTATCCGATTATGATACTGTCGGAGATTATCGACAGCAATACGGAATTATGACACTATTCATAAACACGGCTTAGAATATGTACTACAGTATGTGGCCATATCGTACATTTTCATTGCCTGCAGGCTGCACCCGATACAGATCTGGTTCTTTGTAGTACGATACTTAGGTACTTTCAAACGTAGTGAAAACCATAAAGAAGCAAGGGATGAAATCGTTTGAATCAGAGAATTCTGTTCTTTGGAAGAAGGCAAAAAACAATTCAGAACTGATGACCAGTTTATTATAAATGATTTATTTCAACAACAAAAAATTAATTCGTCACAACATAATCAAAATTTTCAATTGCTCCAACAGTCGGTACTCTGACAATTTTCGGTTCATCTGGTATTACTCTCACTTCAATTCCTCCCGGCCAAATCTTCGGAAAAATCTCTTCTTTAGCTGCCGCTTGCGGTACCGCCACTTCAGAACCGTCAACCTCAGATCCATCAACAATCTGAGGAGTGACTTCAGGTTTGCTTTCGTATAAAACAACTTTAGGGGTCTCCTGGATTAGAGGTCCATGTCCCTCTAAGTTAATCTGACCGCCTGGTGCGAATGCCTCGATTTTGCTTCCGTCTGGTCCTACAACAATGGTCTTGGTGCTGGGACCTTGGAGAATACTGGGGGGAGCTGCAAACACAGCGTGGACCAGAAATACGCATACGAAAACCATCTGCAAGGAACACGTATTTTTTGCTCAGATTCAGGCTAACAAATACACCTACAGTTGAAATGTTTAACTCAACCAAAATAAATGGCTATCTTGTTTTGTTGAGATTCAACTGTGAACTAAGAAATAAAAGTGAATGCAACGAAATCGTATTTCTACTCAGAACAGTCTAAGAATGTCAAGGTATTTGCGTTTTGATGTACTGGTTGCACGGTAACATTTTTATATGCGTGCCTAGATTGATGCAGTTAGGCTCCAGCTATTATGGAGACTCCATTTTTTTCTCCTTGCATAGATTGCGACATCCGTCCTTTTATTAAGTTCTTGCCATTATCTAAATAACAAAAGCGATTTCCCAATTAACGATACAAAAAAACGAATTTCCATGTCTTGAATCAAACTACCGGAATAAAAAACCCAGACTTCCAGATCTTTTCTGTCAAAAATCTTAATGTTGTTGCTCAATTTTGCGCCACTCTGTATACGGAATGATTTCCATTCAAGATGTTTATCTCGTTCACGAGCTTACCGTAGCAATCATGACGTCACAGTTCACTATCGAACTTTTTTTCAGCGAGCGATTACGTTACTAGAGTTTGATTAGATAATCTCCGTAATATTTTTGTTTTGTCTATTTATACGAAAAGGCGGCCTTGCCCGCTGCTTGCTGTTGTTTCAAGTTCGTTGACTATATTCAATTTACATCGCCTACCTTGATACTGATACATTATTCATTCGTGTCGATCTGACGAAATCTCGACACCGTTGGGATGGAAAAATGTCACTCAATATGCATCGTAAATATATCGTACAGTAAAAAATCTCTTGGAAGACGAATGAGCAACTTTCCAGATACTACATATTGGAGACTTATCAGTGCAACAAAAATAGCGAATCGTCAAGCAGATGATGATAGCAAATGCAAATAACGACGGTCGGAATCCTTACTAGTAGTTGGGGTACATTAATGTAATGAAAAATAGTAGAGTTGTGCATGTGATGTCATGAGTCAGTTGAATACGTCGTTTTCTAAAAATAGGTGTTGGTCCCGACAGTTCGCTTGCGAAAGGAGGCTTACTCGTTGTCATTTCGTCACCAAGTAAGTGACTTTAATATTACCCGGACATTGTTGCCCATATCGACTTATTTACGTACTGCCCATGTAATAAAAATGAAATGGTACAGGGTGGTATTTCGAAATCTTCTAAGACGGGTTTGTGGTTTTCACGTTTATCGTTATATTCCCTTAATATTGCTTTATTTATTGTGACGTAACTAGAACCTTGTAAAGGGACAATTTAATCCATTAAAAGGATTACCTGCTTGTTGCATTTATTCTTATTCGTGACCTAAACAAACATTTATATTGGAGTCCGTTCCTGATCGCTTTGCCGCATGCAACCAGTGAATCGTGCTCGGATACAATCAAGCAAAAGTAGTGAAATACGCCGTATTAAAATCCAGTGCGTAAGTTATCTACCTGCCAATATTGAAGCCATCATAGACTGTGAGTACCAGCCTTCAATTCTACAATACAACACGACAATCTGCAAATTCCTAGGCCATCGGAATTCCATCCATTGGTTGCGTCTGTATAAATCGCGCACCAAAACAAACCGAATTCGGTGGACAGGACCGTATTCAGGGATGCCGCAGGATATAACAACATCAAATTGCCTGATAAAATAATAAAACAGTCATGAATTCGCCAAACACATCACAAAATACCAACTCTGCAAAATCATACTCTGATATATTAAGTCAAAGTTCTACCAAATACCCACACAAAGAGCAAGCCATCATCTTCAACGCTGTCGATGGACTAAAAATCCAAGATTATCTGCTAAGACTAGGTCCTATAGTAGACCCAAAAAACATCCTTTTCTGCTCCAGAATATCCAATAATCGGATATGTATCTATTTATCCAGCAAGCAACTTGTAGACAAATTCCTTGAAGATCCTGGGGAAATCATCATTAATGGAGAGTCAGTAAAGGCTCGCAGACTTATTACACCATCTGATAGATTAGTAATATCCAACGTATGTCCCACCATTCCACACAAAATCTTGAAAGACATACTAGAGCAAAAAGGCGTAAAACTCATTTCTCCCATATCCTTTCTAAGAATAGGTGCAACTTTACCTGAGTACAGCCATATATTAAGCTTCAGGCGACAGGTATACATAATGCCTGTAGAGCCTAGCATAATTCCAGAAACTGTGGAAATGACCTACGAAAACCTCACCTACCGCATATTCCTCTCACTTGACAGCCAGAAATGCTTCAAATGTAAGCTTTCTGGTCATATTGCATCTCAATGCCCATCGACACAGGCAGAAACACCCACACCACAAACATCAGCATCAGAGCAATTCACTGTTGAAAACAACCAACAACCGTCAGTACTAACTACTCCAAACTCCAACATAGCAAGTTCAGCGTCACAAACAACTGCAGCCACAACTTCAAACCAACCCCAATCAAAACCCAACGATATCACAGATTCAGACACACAAACTAGTAACAAACGTGGCCTCTCAGAAATTTTGTCCCCCTCAACTGAGAATCAACTTATGCCTGGAAATTCTGGGGAACCAATCTTCGTTACTCCAAAAAACCAAACTATGAAGAAACCCAAAATAGATATCCAACCATCACACATACCAGAAATTACATTCAAGTCTGTTAAATCTTTTATCGACAACCAAACCCCGCCACTCATACTGAACTCAGACCAATTGAAAAGTCTATTGGAAAACACCCACGGTACAAAAGACATAATATCCGTCGTCAACGACCACACATCTGATATTAAAGGATTAATCGAGATGCTTCTGCTAATATATCCACACATCACAGACAAAGCCTTGAAAAACCGCTGTACGAGATTACGAAAAAAAATGGAACGGCATCTTGAAAAAAATCTCAGCGACCAACTCAGTGATACTTCATCTATTGACTCTACTTTTTAAATTCAAGTCAATACTACAATGGAACTTAAATGGATATTATATCCATTTAAATATGTTACTAAAATTAATTTCCGATTTCAACCCAGACATTATATGCCTACAAGAGACACACTTCCACGAAACCAAATCGCATACACCAAAACAGTACACTGGATTTTTCAAACACCGTGAAAGAACTACAGCTAGCGGTGGAGTCGCAATATACATAAAATCAGATATATTAGCCAAACCTATAACCCTTACCACAAATCTAGAAGCTGTAGCCATTACCGTCGAATCAGATACAAAGATCAACATATGTAACATATATATACCTCCCAATTATTATTTAGAAGAAAATGAGCTTGAGTCATTACTGCAACAAATACCATCACCACGGATAATATTAGGAGATTTCAATGCTCACAGTCACATATGGAATTCATACAAAAATGACACGCGGGGAAATATTATAAAAAATATAATTGACCATGCTAACATGATTCTACTGAATGATGGTAGCAGTACAAGATTCGATTCAGCCTCTGGACGCTTTTCTGCAATTGATCTTAGCATGTGCTCCTCTAATCTGATTACACATTTACAATGGAATGTCGCGGACGATTTGTATGGGAGTGACCATTTCCCAATAATAATACAAGATATAAACAAAGAAATTACAGATATACAACCAAGAGAAAAATGGAATTTAAAAAAAGCCAACTGGCCCTCTTTTTCTGCTTATATCGATAATAACCTAAACACTTTTGAGATCACAGATGACGTCGATGCTACCGTTCAAAGCTTTATGAATCTAATCAAAGAAGCTGCTTACCAAAACATAGGCAAAACTAGGGTGATACGGAGAAGGAATCCAGTCCCTTGGTGGAACGAAAAATGCGAACATGCAGTAGGAGAAAGCAAGCAAGCCCTGAATAAAATGAGAAGATATAAAACAGTTGAAAACCTAACTGACTTCAAACACAAACGTGCAAAGGCAAGACTTGTTTTAAAAAGGGAACAAAAATTATCATGGCAAAAATTTGTTTCAACCATCAATAATGCCACCAATGTATCCACAGTCTGGAAGAAAATCAAAAGCATGTCTGGAAAAAAATCACATTCAGTCATCAGGTCGATAAAGAAAGGAACTCACACTTTCACTCAAAGCAGAGACATAGCTAACACCTTATCCAAAACATATTTCAAAAATTCCAGTGACCAAAATTATAGCGCAGCATTCCTTAATTACAAGAGAAACACAGATAGAACAATTCCCATTAGCGAAACCCTTCATTCAATAAATAACCCCATTACAGAACAGGAACTAACCGAGGCACTTCTTACATTGAAGAACACATCACCTGGACCTGATGATATACCAACAATTTTCCTAAAGCACCTCTCACATTCAGCGATGAGCATACTTTTAAAAATTTACAATATAATATGGACTAAGCAAGTTTTTCCAAACGAATGGAGGAAAGCCACAGTTATACCGATTCTAAAACCAAACGCACCACCCCAGGTTCCAGAATCCTATAGACCAATTTCATTAACGTGTTCAATGTGCAAGCTATTAGAAAAAATTGTTAACCGGAGATTATTGTGGAACTTGGAAAGCAAAAAGCAGCTGGCGCACGAACAGGGCGGATTCAGATCAAACAGATCTACATTGGATAATATCGTAGACCTAGAATCTTACATACAAGAGGCATTCTCTGAACGGCAGCATTGTGCAGCCATTTACTTTGATGTCAATAAGGCATTTGATACCGTATGGAAATTTGACGTACTCATCAAACTAAAAAACTGGGGCTACGATGGACACATTCTAGCATTCATACAAAATTTTCTTGACAACAGAAAATACCAAGTTCGTGCCAATGGTGTACTATCAGATGCTGAAACGCAGATCAACGGCCTACCCCAAGGATCTATTATCAGCCCAACACTTTTCCTGGTAGCCATTAATGACATCGTGGCGAATATAAAAAAGCCTCTCCAAACTCGCCTTTATGCTGATGACATGATTGTATATGTTAAAGGCAAAAATATGACAACTACTACATCGTTGCTCCAATCAACGTTAAATCAAATGGAGCACTGGTCTAATAAAAATGGCCTGACATTCTCTCCTGACAAAACACAATGCATTATATTCTCTAAAAAGTCAACTCATACACAACCAACTCTACGCTTATCAAATGTAGACCTGAAAACACATCAAGAAATAAAGTTCCTTGGGATTATATTTGATCAACGTCTGACCTGGAGGAGTCATATTACTTATCTAATTCAATCTTGTCAGAAAGGACTCAACATGTTACGATACCTAGCCAATAGACACTGGGGTGCAGATGGAAAAACCCTTTTAAGTATATATCGTGCACTAGTGAGATCGAAAATAGATTATGGCTGCATAGCATATAGCTCGGCAAAATCAACAGTATTGAAACCTCTAGACGTTCTACATAATTCTGCACTACGCCTGATATTAGGAGCCTTCAGAACCACACCCATTGACAGTTTATACTGTGAGTCTGGAGAAGCTCCCCTATATGTTAGAAGACAAGCCCTGAGTCTACAATACGCAACTAAACTTGCATCTAACCCATCTATACCAGGATTTAGTCACACATCTGTCAACCGCCAAATTGCCTCAAGTTTCAACTACAGAATAACACAGTATCTAAATCAACTACGTATGCCTGTACTTCCTCCTACTATCACCACCACTCAGACAACTAACCCACCTTGGAGCATTCAGATACCTGTTATCAACAGCACACTGACAAAACTATGCAAAGAGGAAACACCAAAAGAAATTATATACCAGAAATTCTCAGAAATCCGCAATCAATATGGTAACTACAGTGAAATATATACAGATGCCTCAAAATTACAAATGCACGTTGGCGCTGCAGTCATAACACCAACATCCATTATAGAATGTAAGCTGGCAGAGACAGCCACAGTCCTTACGGGTGAACTCTATGCAATATTTGAAGCCATCAAGTATATTAAAGGTAACTCCGCAAATAATTGGTTAATTATATCCGACTCATTGAATTCGCTTAAGTTAATTAGCACTATGTACAGCAAGAACGCCATAGCTCAAAGAATTCGGGATGAAATGAAAGATATTGCAATGCACAAAAGAATTGTTTTCCTATGGGTTCCATCACACGTTGGAATTCCAGGAAATGAGCTAGCAGATCGCAAAGCAAAAGACGCTGCCAACAACGCTACTAGATATATTGTCAAAGTACCAGAGTATGATGTAAGGGCTCATTTAAAATCGAAAATCATCCAGAACTGGATCAATCTGTGGCAGAGTAAACCATCCAAATTACTTGAACTCAAGTCTAAGTTGATGCCATGGCAAACCGTCACCAACAACCGCAAAATCCAGACCATCATCACACGACTAAGGCTAGGACACACACGAGCTACCCACGGATACCTGCTGTCTCAAGAACCTGTGCCCCTATGTGAAATCTGTGACGTGCAGTTAACAGTGAAACACCTACTAATTGAGTGCCCAGTGCTAGAAGTATATAGGTTTATGTATAAACTAAACGGAACACTGGCTGACATTATAGGACCACAGTGTAATATTATAAACATTTCCAATTTTCTTAAAGCATCTAGATTTATGTACAAAATTTAACCTACTCCCCGCTAATGACCTTTAGGTCGAAGCGGTATGCTAAATAAAAAAAAAAAAACATTTATATTATATTTTAACCAGTGTGTTTTTATAACTTCCATTTCCAGCTTTACGTACAGAGAACGACGGGTACCTCACAAACTCAAAATAACGTACACTATAACAACGATGCTGTCAAATGAAATAACTAAAAACCGTCTACTAATTTTTACTGTTTTGCAGTTGTTAAGCACAGCCATAAAAAAACAATATTGTTATGAAGTTGAGGAAATAGGAATAGGGAATAGGGGAGAGATCTAGGGAGCAAACTCCGTTGGTATATCGGTAAAAGAGAGTTGTATCGATATGAGAAGGCATCGAAACTGTACGTTAATGATTCCTTAGATAGCACAGGGTACTTTTATTGAAAACTGGCTAAGTACTGGAGCGTGGTAGACAATTTAATTTTTTTCGTGATCAAATTTGTTTGATACCACTTAATATGAACCAAGAAGTCGCCTATGCAATTTTGTTTGACCACAAGGCTAAAATTGGAAAAGATCTTGAATACACCATTATGAATAATATCAAAACTCCTTATACATACATCCTTGGAAGTGAACCTTGTTTTATTTGGGTAGACATGTCAAAAATATCACATTTTCCACTTTTCTAAAACGGAAAAAAATGCTACAAAGATATCTTTCTATACAAATTTATTCAAGTACTGACTACATCAGTCAGAGTTTTTGCGATTTAGTCATTTGCGGACCCTGTGTCTGCCCTTTTGCGGCATATATCGTGTGTCCGCCATCGACCGTTCAATATATTATATATGGAAACATTGATGTATGCAACTTAAATTGAAATACACACCACTCAACAGTGTCTAAAAAGTGGCAGTGATTTCTCTAAAAATGCATTCCACGAGCAACGAAAGGGTGCATGGCAACCTCTTGATTTGTGTTAAGGAGCGTCTAAAATCATGTAGGAAAATTTAGTGTAAAAGTGAGGGAAAGCGCTAAGCGTGCGAATAGAGGAGCCAGAATGACAACTGAGTGGAAGTGTTACTTCTTATTCATTGCATTAGAAATGTTTATTTTTTAACGATTCGTAATTAACAACTCACGCTAACGTTTTGTCTAGATAACTATGTAGCCAGGTAGTTTTTATTACGCATTTTTCAAGTATTTATAATTACTAATTCGTCTAGGAAGTCTGAAAAATAAAAAAGTCTGGCTGGGGGCGACGCGTAAAACAATACGTTTAGAAATTAGTGTCGGCTTTGCAGATTTATTTTTTAATCCCGGAAGAAATGTATAGAAACAGCTATTGTAATGACAAAGTGATTTTGGTGGCTGGTCCATTATATGCAAAACTAAGAGCATTATGGTTTGTGAAATGGCGGTTCGAGTTCGGGACCTACACCCAATATGTTAATAGATCACGAAATTTTGGGAAAACTGGTCCCTACGAGGACGACTTCATAGTATATAAAGCCTACCAACTCGTCAAAACGGCATCAGTCATCAACAGACAATCATAAAACAATCAACATGAACTCATTCGTAAGTAGAACATTTTTACATAGTTTTAATGCCTAGATAATATTAAAAATTGGTTATTGTTAGCATAATCGTAGTCTGGCAGTTATTGCCTTGCCAGACATTATTACCTGATAGATCCTTGTAGTCTACATACGGTAGCCGTAAATAGATGGCATGCAGTAGTAATAGAGAGCAGAAGAAGCTTGACAATTAGGTCAGAAATTTTATGGCGTGTACTAAGGCCTAATCTAGGGCTGGGGTTGATGCATCAAAAGTCTATCCCCTAATCTATCCAAATATTGACCATTAAATTATCTATCTTTACGGAAACGTTTTTCCTGTTTTAAGACGTAGCTGCTTCTTTAAACCATTCACTTGAAAGCTATAATAATTCTTTCAGATTGCTTATTACTGTTTTAGACGAATTTTTGGCAAATAGGATGTCTCACTCTCTTCGGTATTTTTATACGAACTTTGAGATATTCCAGTCCAAATTGTTGGATTTTTCCATTACTCATAAATAACTGTTTGTTTTTCAACAATTATACCGTTTTTCTATCAAATCATCTAACCTCCGTTCACTACTTTTTTGTACCTAATTGTTTTGATGCGGTTATAGGTGTTTAAACGTAATGTGTTCGTACGTTTTTAGTAATTTTTCTTTGTTGTAACTTGTTGTTGGTACTTTTTATACAATAAATTAGATCCTAAAATTAGTTCCGGTACCTTAAATAATAGTACCTCTGTAGTGGGTAATTGAGATCACATCTGGCGATCATATCACGTAAAATTCTTGAATTATACAGTGTTTCATTTTAAAAGTTATTTCCATTACTATGGGTTAGGGTCGTGCATATTCATAGGAGAAAAGCTGAGGAGAATTTGTATACAAATTTGGCAACACGTCATTTTTTGTGTATTACTTCATTCTAAAGGTTGTTCTGGAAGTACGAGCCCCTTCCCACTTCAGTTCGCCCACTTCAAGATTTGTGACTATTTCTAGTGCACATAGTTTTTATCGCATCGTTTGATGTATTTTCTAGTTTAGAGATATTGTCGATTTTTTTAATCGATCTACACTACAACTTGTAATCTAATAACCAAATTTCAGATCTTAGCTAGTTTGGCCGCCTTCGTCGTAGCCGCGGGTGCTTCCGAGCACGTCCTACAAGGTCCCAGCAGCCGCGCTACCATCACAGGCCCAGAAGGTAGCGTGATCTCCTCCCACCAACCTGGGGGAACCGTCGTCAGCGAGGACCTCCCAGGAGGAGCCGTCCACACTGACACTGTAGGAGCCGTGGAGGCTTACACCGCGTTCACTGCACCTTATGTTCATCATTCGGAACATGTGGTGCCAACGGTGCATGCTGAACGATTGGTGAGTAGCAGTTTGAAGTACAACATTCATTTATTCGTATCATTTCTTAACTAAAATCTTCACATCGCCTCAGTCAAACAGAGTATAGAAAGCGATTTTCATTTACAACCTCTGATGATACCCTTGATTATATAAAGAAATTATTTCAGATCCCAAAAATGATTTCATCAACAAATATCGAAAGACAAGTATATACTTACATTTTCTAAACATCAAATAGGCACTTGCGACCAACCCATAACCAAATTGACTCACCTGAAACAAAGAAAGAAGCGTAAATTAGTTGATTTCCAGTTAAAAAACATGTTAAAGCTAAATTCATTGTTACTTTATCTAAATTCTAATTATTTGTACATCAATATTTAGTTACGAAAAAACCAATAGTTAGGTTGAATCAAGTAATCCAATAAATACTTTCCATTTGGATTTTAAAACTTTATCACTTCAATGCAGAACTAGCCCTAGTTTGTTATTGTCAATTTCGCGTTTATGACAGCAGCGAAAATTTGTTTGATTCAATGCAGAATTAATGCGATTCGAGCGAACTGTGTTAGTAATGTTTTTGTATTAAAAATGAAAAATATTTTGTTTAAGCAAACAGATTATATTCATACTGAGGTGTAGAGGTATTCTATAAATTAGAATGATGCTGAGTAAGTTAGTTAGTAAGTCACATAAACTCATTCTTCGTTACATCCTGATTCTATTTTTTTTCTGAAAAGCTTGTCGACTTCTTACTTAACCTGTCGACATGCGTATTTCCAGACATATGACAGGTACTGATATACACATTTTAAGGTTTTCCTTTGTAACCGTGTAAAAAACTTTAATGAATAACTGCATTTTTAACTCCTTCTGCATTAAGGACACAACTAACAAAACCCAAATCGCTGTAGTACATCAAATCGATTTTCTCATGACTATAATTTAGTTTAGTTTTAAATTCATAGTGTTTATTTTGTTTCAGGTCCACGCCAGTCCCTACGTCCACTCCGAGCCCCTGATCCACGCTCACGCCGAGCCTCTGGCTCATTACGCAGCCCCATATGGAGCCCACTACACCGCTCCGTACGCACATGCTGACCACGTGTCCCACTATACCGCCCCCTACGCCCACGCTTACGCCGCGCCACTGGCTCACGTTTACGGAGCTCACGCTGCATACTCTGCGCCTGTGGTGGCTGCCCATCATGCCGACTTCGCTCATGGATGGGCTTAGGATGTGCTTATATGCTCATTTGTAGGAAATTATCAGGAATAAAGGACTTTATACAAATCCGATTATTATTTCTTTTGGTCCGTTTATATACATGGTGTCCCAAAAGTATGGACACGCACAAATATCTCGGAAACTAAGGGTACTAGAATATTAAAAGTTTTACATGTACAACAGAGAAATTAAGCGTATTATATCAGTCAAACAGGCTCATACAATTATTCGTCTATAGACATTCTTTCCCTGCCCTGCTGGTGGTTACCGACCATGTGGCAACGCAGACAGCGAGTTAGCTTTCGTTTCGTGCAAGGTCCATATGTTTTTTGCACTTCAGTACGGATACATTACACATAAGCCGGACGGGTTTGCCAGGCGATGCGCTTAGTTAGACGAGAGTACGCGGATCGAATACATTTCTCTATTATTAGTTAAGTTTTAAAGGCAAACGTAATAGGTGCATATAATTACCGGGGTTGAGAACGTATCAATATACCAAGATCAAAAAAAAATCGTATACCCTCCCTCACCCTCTAAAAATCCCAACCCTCAAATTTCTACACCTACCAAAAAGAATTTCTCTAAAACGTCAAAAATCGAAGTTTGATCGACTTTTGTCTTTTCGTTTTTTGACTTTTCTCCGCAGCTTTCCCAAAGCTAAAAAGCTTTTGCATTGTAATGTAAAAATGTCGTCGAAATTCGAGCAGTTCTTCTCACAGTAAAGACCGACAGACAGACAAACCGACGGAAATGGGTTTTCGTGATGTACAGGTCATGTAGCATCCAAAAACCTCAATATCTCGTATCCGAAATTTTTCGCGATTATAATACTCGCCCAGTGGCGTAGAAAGTAAAATAATTACCTAATTTCAAAATGTCTGCGCCTTTTTTTTTAATGAGATCCAGGGTTTCTATATTAGCTTTGTTCATTCCAAAAAGGGTGCTAGAAACCCCGCTAACATACAAGCATGAGGACGAAAATGTGTAAATTGATTTTTATTATGGAAAACGCTTTTTTCACTTTAAATAGGTACCGAAAATGTAAAAAAAGTATCATTTCTCATATAAAAATAAGTCAGATCAATATGTCCGAGTATCTCATTGTCTTTGAAATATTGGATGGTCCGTTCAAGTGACCATAAAAGATGAATAGACAGTCAAACCTTACAGAGGCTCCTTCCGAATTCTATTTAGCATGTCACGTAGTTTCATACGAACAGCCCCAAGTCGGCCGTCCGTGCGTATTAAAATTTAGATAGGAACCAGATTGGCGTATAATATGGGAATTCTCGAGAGGGTATTCTCTAGACGGATAAGTGTAATGCTTACAAAGAGGGGTGTCATTAAGCCAATTCCAAAGGGATGCTCAGCGCGTGACAGTGATATGTGCTATTACCAGGTAACTAGGTCAAATGAGAATTGTCGAGAGTCGAACGGAAACTAGATTATGATCGCCGGTAATTATAATAAATTTGAGCAATTTTTGCAAAGGTATAATGTATTTGACATATTCAAAAGCGTCAATCTTGTACTTATTCTTCAATTATCATTAGTTGAAAACTGGTATTTTCATATGAAGCTGCCGTATATTTGGGACCGTTTTCTTGAAATTAAGTTTCGCAAAGTGGCTGTCTCATTTTGATATCCGATCGATGGCTTAATATACGATAGTGCTTTACATGCAGGTTTTCAAATCACTTCCGGAAAGATATAGGGGCTATGACTTCCTGAAGCTGCGGTAACTTTTAGCGGTTCAATCCTTCAAGGCAAAGTACTGTATACCCCAATCAAAAGGCAAATCACGTTTGCAAAAATTCTGATAAAGCTGAAAGTTGGTACCAGATACACCGTTACGAATAATAGTATTTAAATAAGATATTTTTCGAACAAATTCTCTGAGTGTTGAGATACTTCTATGCTTTTTTGAAAGCAATTAATCGTTTAATTTCAAACGATATATGGAAGCAGTGATATATAGAGTAGCGCATCGAAAATGAAACAGACATTTACTGGCAGCTCAGTTTTTTTTTGGAAAAACGCTCAGACCTGTCGTCTTTGATTTCGAGGGGGACACATGTTTGGCAAAAAATCACGTTAGCACATGCAGCCCCCTAAGCGGGGGTGACACTACCCCCAAAATCTTAAATGGGAAGGATGGTCGAGTGATACCTTATTTTAAAGGTCTTTCAATTCCCTTTATAATGATATAAAATTAATGTACTTCAGTTCAGTAGTTTTGAAGATCAATCGCAAACTATGTACTAAATTCCTATTTAAAATAAGTACGAGATATTTCCTTATCTTTCTTCAAGAAATAACTTTTTTCCACAAAAAAACGCTCCAATAGATATTTTCAACAAGAAAATGATAAGCAAACCATAAGCGTAGTGAAGAAAAGCATTTACTTACTAAGTAAATTATTTTAGTCAAATTTCTTCTGAAAATAGTACAAACTAATCTGATGTACCTGTTATAGTCTACTTTAAGCTTTAAATTAATAAATCTTCAAAACTACTGAAATGAAGTACATTAATTTTATATCATTATAAAGGGAATTGAAAACCTTTAAAATAAGGTGTCACTCCACCCTTTTCCATTTAAGATTTTAGGGTTGGTGTCACCCCCACCGAGGGCACTGCACGTGTTAACGTAATTTTTGCCAAACTTGTGTCACTCTCGAAAACAAAATCGACGAGTCTGAACGTTTTTCCAAAAAAAAACTTAGCTGCCAGTAAATGCGTCTGTTTCGTTTTCGATGTGCCACCCTGTATACGACACATACTATACAAGTATCACACTTGCAGGGTATGTCTAGAATAAACGTGTACGTTGCCTAAAAGGTACCACCTAAAAATGCAAACTGGCAAACATAAATATTCAAAATAATTTTAGAAATCTGCCTAACAAAACATTTTGAAAAATGAGACTATTGGCTATGGAGCTTCATATTAAAAAAAAATGTCTACCTTATACTGATAGTTACAGTATGGATACGTTCCGAAAAACAAAGGATCCCGTCAATGGTAGCATCATCGTAGAGATCTATATCTTACACTGGGTATTCTAATATACCACAGGTGACCACTTACGTAATTGAATACCAACTATATTCTTCCGACACCTTTGGGACGCGCCCCTGCTAAAAAACCGCTATAATGACTTTCAAATGATCGTAGCAGAGATAAGAACAGATCAAGTTCAATGGCAACATGACATGACATGCGGAAGCATTCCGATGCATTTTTATGAAAAATCCGGGGTCCGAAACGAATAATTCGAAGGTCGGGAGGTTTGTATAAATTGCTTTGGGACCCATTGGAAGGCATAGTTCGTCGCTAGCAGCCAAATTAGTAATACAACATGAACGCACTCGTAAGTAGATTTTTAATTAGTTTATAGTGGCCACACCCCACATCAATTTGATACGTGATACGGTGTAACAGCGATTTTTGAATAAGTGCCTTTTTATTTTAGTTTATGTCATACATTCAAGATACTGGATTTAGATGCATTTTTAGGAAATATGGTAGTTAGGGTTATCTCACCAAGCTTGAAAAATGCATAAACCATAAAATCTTGAAGTGCATCTATTAACCGACTTTCTTAAGATCATGTGAAATTAGGAGGTAGTGATTTTCGAATAAAAAGCGAAGTGGAAATGACGTTGGAACTAGTTATTTTGAGAAGTTTGGATAAATTTAACAACTCCAGAATTATTCTTGTTGACAGGAAGTTTTATTTCCAATAATTCTTTTAATCCTGTATGTTTGAAATGAAGTAGGGTTTCGAGAATCCTCAAAAGATAGAATAGTCTTAGTCCAAAATGAGCCATCTTAAATTATCGCCCTATATTTTAGAAACTTTCAGTGTCAGTCCGGAGAACCGGTATTAGGCCATTCTAAAATGAATGGACAAATTTTATATTCACCTAGTGTTAAGATTTCTTTAAAACACCGACCTTACTGATAGAGAATCTAAACATTAGGGGCTTCTTTTTTTTCAATTTTCAAACATAATGCACAAATACTTCGCTTTAACTGTTTTTCAGAGGTTTTATTAATTTTATTTATTCATTATTTGTTCGTTTGCAGATCCCTCTGTTCGCGCTATTCGCCTTAGCCACCGGTTCCCCGTCGGGAAGCCACGTGTTGCAAGGCCCCAGCTCGAAGACTACCCTGGTCGGACCCGAAGGCAGCGTCATCTCAGCCCACCAACCTGGAGGGACAGTCGTCCACGACGAGCACCCAGGGTACGCTGCCCATGGACATGACCACGCCGCCCCTCTAGTCTACGCTGCCCCTGTACATCATGCCGCTTACCACGTGCCGGTCGTTGGCCATCATGGGCCAGTCGTCGCCCATGGACACGGAGCTACCGTAATCAGCGGACCCGCTGGACACATTGTCGCTGGCCATGCCGCCCATGGATATGCCGCCCATCTCCCAGTGGTAGGTATACGAATAAGTAATCAGAATGTTGAAAATCGTGGAAAAACAAATTTTATATTGTTTCAAAAATCATCTCCCCAACAATAGTTGCATACGTCGGAAAACCCACAGACACCCAAAAAGCGTCGAAGAATATATTGGTCGTTGTAAAATTTTCAATTTTTCTTCAATTACTGTGCTATTTTTAAACAGATAATTCAATCATACAAAGTGTTTCCATCAATCTGCATGTTTCTGCCATAATAAACCGCATATGTAGAAGTAGGTGACAGAAACGTCAGTAAATTCATACCTATGTGTGGCTTCAATAAATGATAAAACTACAAGATTAGTTTCAGATGTTACACTAAGCTTTGTTTATCTTTGGCTCATGTAAAACGAACCCCTCGTCAAAAAAGACCAAAAACTATCAAACTTTATCATTACAAAATTTCCGAGTTTCTGAGTATCTTGGTTTTTTTAAATTATAAACTTCATTTTTTTGTTCCTCAGCAACTTGCTCTTGCCTAAGTTCAAATCTATGATTAACAATTTTCTGTTTAACCTTTTTGTGTTACTTCGCACGCCATTGGCGAATGTAATTAAGAGCAAATTCGAAAAGTAAATTTTTTGGATGTTATATGACATGTATATTCATTAAAACCTATAATGATACGTAAATAGTATGGGGCAATTATCTGTACCTATTTGACTGACTTGATCCATTTAGGCGCTAACATGTGCCGAACATAATCCTTTATGAACTGCGTCGCGTTGCGTAGGAACTTCGGAGTCAACCTACTTGTCGACATTTTTTCTATGATATTTTTATAATATTTAGTTTGCTTCTAAAATAAATAATAACGAGATTCTTCATCACCCTGATGCAACCTCGACAATATGGCATACAGAAATTCATTTATATAAGAGCCCGAAATGCGTGAAAAATGTGCTGATTTAGAAACTGAGTTGAAAGGTTTAATCAACTAAAAGACTGTAATGTTCCAATGCTGTTTCAGGTTGCTTCTCATGTGATCGCTCCCCACCATGCTCACGAAGGCCAATACGTTCATGATTACACCGAGACTCTTTACGACGACGGCTCATACAAGCCACATTTGTACTATTGAGATGTTTAGGATGATTACCGTATAATGGTGTGTACAAAGTGTGTTTATAGAATAAATTATGTTAAATTAACCCTTTTGTAATGTTTTATTTGTTTATTTCAATCACTACGAAGGACAAGGCCAGAAAACTGCATCGCGTTCGTACAAAATAAGGTACTTAACATGTCTGCTGAAGCTTGACAAAGTAATACTTATCTCCCTATACCTAGTATACAGGGTGCTGCATCGAAAACGAGTATTTTTTTTGAAAAACGTTCAGACCCGTCAATTTTGTTTTCGAGGGGGACACAAGTTTGGCAAAAAATCACGTTAACACGTGCAGCCCCCTAGGCGGGGGTGACACCACCCCCAAAATCTTAAATGTGAAGGGGGTTCGAGTGATACCCTATTTTAAAGGTCTTTCAATTCCCTTTATAATGATATAAAATTAATGTACTTCAGTTCAGTAGGTTTGAGGATGTATTGATTTAAAGCTTAAATAAAACTAATACATCATCATTAATGGAGATCAATACATTTGACAGTAAAGTAATTTAAAAATGAAGAATGAACTGATCCGTTAGGCAAGTAAATGTTGAAAATGGCCATCATGACTATCCATGCAATAATAAAGATTTTGCTCAAAACGTTGCCGCACATTTTGCAATATTTGAGGAGTAATTTGAAGGCACCCATTCACAATTCTTTGTCGCATGTCTTCTAATGATGTTGGCTGAGTAGCATAGATTTTGCTTTTCAAATGACCCTACATAAAGAAATCCAAAGGTGATAAATCAGGCGATCTTAGGGGCCATTCAATGGCACCTCTTCTACCAATCCATCGATCTGGAAACGTCTGATCTAAATAAGGCACGTCCAGAAAGTAAGTGTACTGGTATTCTCACAGCTGTAGAGAATACTTTTTCGACATGTTGGCAACACTGCCGCGTAGCCTGACCCCTCCCCTTCAAAAAGAGACCAATCTGAGGTTAGTGTGTTGAAAACTCTTGACGCAGTAACATCTGTCGCGAAAAATGTCGATCGTATCTCCCGCCAAGTGCGAAATTCGCGCCGTCATTCGCTACCTCGTTGTGAAGGGAAAAGCTCCGGTTGAAATTTATAATGAGGTGAAAACTGATTCAGAATAAAAGGAGGGGCATGCTGACGAAGGGAGTCTGCCTGTTGCACGACAATGCCAGACCCCACACGGCCAACGCCACGAAGCAACTCCTGGACTCTTTTGGATGGGACGTTCTGAATCACCCTCCGTATTCCCCTGACCTGGCTCCTTCAGATTTCCATCTCTTCACTTCCCTAAAGGGGCACATGCATCGAGAGGGATGGTGACTATGTCGAAAAATAACTTACATATGTACAAGTGTAACCAAGTATATTATGGTTTTAATAAATTTTTTTTGAACCCTCCATAAATTGAGTACACTTACTTTCTGGACGTGCCTGTCGTACTGTCGAACACGTAATGCGTAATGTGGTGGGGCACCATCCTGTTGGAACATCAACCTATTCACAATGTACCGCCGATCATTCTGATTTTCAATTATGGCTGTTAATGCAGGATCTATGGCGTCTTCCAGTAATTCCAAATATATTTCACCGGTCAAATTTCCAGGTAAGAAAAAAGGAAAAACTAAATGATCGCCAAAAATACCAGCCCAAACATATAATTTTTGTGGCTGCTGTGTATGAACCTCATGATAAATTCTGGGATTGGAATCGGACCAATATCGGCGGTTAGACGATTTACTACGCCATTTAAGAAAAAGGAACATTCGTCGGAAAAGCTAAAGTGTTAAATAGAAAATGTTCATCGTTTATAATTCGTTCGCTCATATCTTCACAAAATTGTAATCGCCGATCAAAATCGTCTTCATTAAGTTCTTGTACCAGGTGAATTTTATAGGGATGAAAACTATAGGCCTTTAGAGTCCGTTGGACAGTACGTCGACTAACACCACACACAGTCTCCAATTTGCGGGTACTTAACGTAGGATCTACATAAGTTTGCCCTAAAGCCACCACTTCAATTGCTTCGTTCCTTATGAGATTTTCAGTGTTGCGTTTTTTATTGACGATTGACCCAGTTTCCCGAAATTTAGCTATACATTCTAGAACATATTTTCGATGCACGTTACTGTTCTCATGTCGATCATTAAATATTTCTGCTGTTCTATTAGCGCACTGATTATTTCCGAAAAATATAATAAATAATAAAGCGTTACAAGTTCTTTTAGCAACAAAGTTTGGTCAAATCAATCGCAAACTATATAATAAATTCCTATTTAAAATAAGTACGAGTTATTTCCTTATCTTTCTTCAAGAAATAACTTTTTTGCCACAAAAAAACGCTCCAATAGCTATTTTCAACAACAAAATGATAAACAAACAAAAAGCATTTACTTATTAAGTAAATACTTCTATTCAAATTTCTTCTGCCAGTAAATGCGCCTGTTTTGTTTTCGATGCGCCACCCTGTATGTACTCATTTATCCGAGACGAAATCGTAACTTGTCTAATTTTGATAAATATGGTGAATGTGGTATGCACAACGTAAATCAAAAGTTTGGTAGGAGAGCTGAATTAACTGCACCAATACGCAAAGTCTCCTGAAATTTGGGACTTTCTTTTTCGGAAGTAACTACGTCTGAAATAACAAAACTAATGTGTGGTCAAACAGCAGCGAAAACAATAATAAATCATTTGATCGGGAATTTCAAGAGGTGACCTGTCAGTTGTTTGATCGTAAATATCGTTGAAGTTGAATCCGTTTAATTCAAAAACACAAGTTTGTAGACTTCTTCCTAAATTCACAGTATTTCTAAATACTACTGCATCCACCTCAAGAAGTTGTGAATTCGTGAAGTATCATCAGTATAAAGACACCGTTTTTGCTATAATGGTAACGTGCCTATTTCGGCACTTCAAACCCAAATCAAGTACCTACATACACTTCGCACTTTCTTGGAGTAGGATGCAGGGTCGGGCTGACCCATTCGGAGCTTTTCAGAATTTATTTATATCCGCTCTGTGAAGGAAAGTGCCAACTTTAAGGACACTTATACGAAAACTCGTTTCCTGGGTAAATCGGATACATGGATTCCGGACGTCAATTTGGTAATCAGTCTGACACGAGGTCTCCCATCCAAAATTCATCTCGATAGCACTTTTTCGATGGTTATATTTGAATTTACCACCCCAAATTAGCTATGGGTATAATTTCAAAAACGCTGATTTGACGCTAACTTTCTTGGCTGATCCTAAACGACTTATTTTCTACTTGAAACTCTGTCACACGATAGTTCGAAATTTTAATTGTCATGTTCCCATTCGACTTCCAAAATTTCCCAAGTACATCAAAAGTTTAATTCGCTTATAGGTACAAATAAAGATCTGAAGTCGCTCAGCCAGTGCGCTTGCTTTTGATGTGTTGGTAAAAATATAGAATCCCGCTATTTTTTATTTGTCGTGTTATGGGATGATTTCAAAAAACTCTTGCGTATCTGTAGTCTGTATGTTAATCTTTTTTGGTAAATCGGGTGTTTAGATATCGAATTCGACTTTGATTGTCAGCTAGGACTAACGAAGCGATACAAAAAAACTAAGAAACAGTACACTTTAAATAATTTTATTCAATCAATCGTGATTCCTTAATAATTTAGAAGATGTATCTGTTGTCAGCATCAGCATGCGATATCGTTCCGGAGGGTCCTGCAACGACGGTATGCGAGCTCCTGCCATACACAGGCGCCGCAGCAGCATAAGCCAAGGGAGCGGCGTAGGGTAAATGGTGGGCGGCGTAGGCCAAGTGGTGGGCGGAGTAGGCCAAAGGATGGGCGGAGTAAGCCAGGGGGGCGGCAGCCAGTAGGGTGGCTGCTGGGGCGTGGTCAGCGATCACCTGCGCCCCAGGGGTGTACGAGGAGATCAAGCTGCCGTCCGGACCAATCACCGTTGATCTGCTACTGGGGCCTTGCAGGATGTGGCTTGAAGCGCACGCACAGGCTACAGCGGCCAAGAAGGTGATGAACGACTGAAAACAAAAGTAATCATATATCAGATTGGAAAAATGGCTCTCTCTGATTCAAATATGGTTCCTCCGACTTCGATTGTAATTGTCAAGCCAAAGAACAACATTTCAATCATCCACAATATCTTCAAATTCCAAACTAATATTTTTTATTGAAGAGCTTAGATCATACAGGGCGTTATGTTGAAAGAATTAGCAGTAATTCAAGAGCAAAAAATGCATTTAAAATCAAGACGAAAACTATCTCTATGTTCTGGTTTGTTTGTTAATGACTACAGGATCCTTAACATAATGTTATACACCTATAACCTGAAAACGGCGTAAGGTGATATCCAAAATATATATACAGCTTTTTGTGCTGGGAAAGTAGTAGCTTTTTGTTTAAATACATAGGTATAAAGAAGAAATATTAACAAGCAGGGAAAACCAACAAGTAATCAAATTAAAATATAGTCGTAATATTTATAGGCAAAAATACATGAAAAAATAAATCCAAATTTTTTTTATAAAAATGCTCCGCCGCCAAAATATATGAGAGAAGTAGTGACATTTCGCCACAACGTTATTTCGTATTATCAAAACTACAACCATGAATCACTTTATTATTGTGTTTACGGGAACTTTACATATAATTTTGTGTAAGCACTTGGAGCTTCAGGTATATTTTTCTTGTTTTTTGAATCACCACGTGCAGAAATATTGACAATACAATAATTTAAGAAAAATTACTTACCAAAGTATTCATGCTGACAGACTTGATTAGCTCACGTCAAACGGAGAACTGATAAATTCTGATAGGTTCACCACCATTTTATACCAACACATTTTAACAACGAACTCGCCTTACTCGTTATCAAAAAAAATACCTACGCATTCGCCGGTATGGCCAAAAAGAACAAATAACTGGTTTAAACACTGCGTTGACAGTTGAAGTACACCAAGAAACAGACTATCCACGTAAATAGTATCATAAATAAAAAGTGGTCGCAGATTTTTAAATCTTTTCCGGTAACCGCATGCCTGAGATGTATATCTCCGAACGGACAGAGACAATGAAAAGTTGTTATTCTGGATCGTTGACTTGAAACTTGCATTGTTGTACCTTGCGAATTACTCGCATTGGAACCGCATGGTGCGGATAAATGGATATGGGTTCGAGACAAGAAACAATAAGAAAAACGACGTATTTGAAAAAATACTCGTATGTTTATCTTAGCTGTAAATGTATTTCTGATTTTTACTTTTGATATGCCATATTCAGTTTTCTTTCTTCTACCAATAGCCAGCACACTTTGCTCTTTCTCGCCTATGATACATCGACGGAGCATGTAAAAATATGTTTGAACTTTCGTTTTCAACAATGAACTTCTTTCTGTAACAACTTGTACGAGTATCTCGAAATCCATTGGTGTGTCATAGAATAAATATGACAATTTGAAACAGAAAATTATCGCTGTTTAATGCTCGATATAATGATCAGAAAGGAATCATGAATAAACTCTGTTTTCAAATCGATATTTACAAACAAAACAGCATCGCTGGTAATCGTTTGTATTGTTAGTATTTTCGTATCGGTTTCTAGTATTATTTTATTAATGCGGCATCGTTCAAAAAGCGGATACATTTAAACGCCACGTTTACCAGTTTTCAAAATTAATATTTCCTGCATGTGGCATTTGTTACCAGTTCGTACAATAATAATGTCATTTTATTAGTGGAGATATCGGATTTTACCGCAAAAAGCATTTGCGTGGTACACAAAATATTTTATGAACTTGATAGCATAATAAACTGAAACTTGATTATTGCAGTCTATTAATTGAGATTTGACAAAAAAAATACAGAATGCTGGAACTGTGGCTCGAACGCAAATCATCTCTAAGTAAGTATTCTTCTGTTTATTTTTATAACACATACCTCAAGTAGCTAGTCGCTACAGAATTAGTCCTTTTTAATTCAATGTAAGAGCAGAAGATCCTGATCATTTCCGGAAAAACTTTTGTAGGGGTTAAAATGAGGGGTTAGGGGTTGTAGGGGGTAGGGGGATATATATATATATATCAATTTTTTGACGTTGATATATTTATACCCCAGCAATTCTGCGCACAGTTTAGGCATATTTCATTCAACGTACATTTATCCATAAAAAAGAAATAATACCACCCACGGTGGGGTGTCGATATGTGCAACGTGGTCGATTGATGGACAAACGTCGTCGGTGGTCGTACGTCACAGTCGGCAATCGCTTCCGGACTGCTGTGAAGGTCGATATCGTCATTTACGCGAGATTGGTAATCGCAAAGGTCATTTAATTTTTTTTGTATATGTTCGTAGGGCATTTTCTCTGTTGTGCCGCACATAATCCTTTACGGACTGATGTCAGCGTAGCTTGGGAAGTACAGAGTCAACTTACTGGACGCCATTTTTTACACGTAAGACAAAAGAAGGCACCACCTATAAAACTGTAAACCAAAGCAACTTTTGCATCAAACCCATGAGATACTGAACAATTTAGCTGTTAAATTTCCTTTAGGGGACAGTGACAGTTCAAAATACTGATAACTAATGACGTGTATAGCATTCAAAGGCCACGGCCCGCATAGGGACACGCCCGAGATCAGAAACCAGCAACTGCAGACACTGATGCGCCATGCCTTAAGCAAAGGTCTACATACGAAGACTGCTTTCAGGAATGAATCAAGTGCGGACAGAGGGAATGTTTACCACCTCTTGCAGATAGCCATTAAGCACCTACTTGATGACAGGCTCTACCAAAAGATATTGCTCGTTTCCAAACATTCATTCATTTACTTGCCGTTCATCAGAACCATTATGGCACCTTAGATTGATATTCCCACAAAACCATTCGGGTTTTTTGATATCCATACATCCATAAAGTTGAATATTTTTCGTTGTTCAGAAACTGAACAAACATCCACACTATATTCACAATGATTAAGACATTCCCAAATATATGCCTTAAAGCTACCAGCAAACCTAAAACCTGCAAAAAAAACTACAAATTTGCCATATTTTTCTTTTTTCACGAGTACACATTCTAGGTTATATTTATATTAGACATTATTTGAATACAGCTGATTATTGCATTTCAAGGAGTGACACATGTGTGGGATCTGTCAACTCTTGGTACCAGTCACAAAACATATACTCTGAAGGTTTAATTCCATGCTACTCAATGACAAAACGGTGACTTGTGTGGTTGTCAGTGGCCATTTTGTGAGGGTGCGACAGGGTTGCCAGATTGTGCATTAATATCCCGTTTCACCCTCCTGGTCCCAGTAGAGTAAGTTCCGCCAACTGTTGAAATATACTCTACTATGCTTTATAAGACTATTCGTAACATTTTTCCCAAAATCATCGCACAACACTTGAAAAAATGCAAATGAAAATTTAAAATTATTTCCATGACGTCGCAAAATAGCTCCGTCGGTACCTTGGGTTATACATCTTGACAGTAGGGATATTCGATACGATCCTATATTTAGAAGTATCAATACATTTCACGAGTATCGTCATCTTTCGATCCGGACTGTGTCAGAAAGAGTGACTGCCATTTGGCTGCGACATTACAGACATGCCCAAAATCATCGGTTGCTGCCGTGATATTCTGCACTGCATCCCCACGGCTAGGCGACCTGTATGTTAAATTTGTATTGATAGGGCAGCGAGTTATGCTATAAATCATATGTCACTGTGTTTGTGCACTGATGGCAACGGTAAGATGATACCAAAAATATTTTCATAAATAGGAGATCTTTCTCATTCCGGATCGAACAATCTACCAAAGATGCTTATAATCATGATACCTAGTAAATTTTCACGAAAAAAATTCAAAACCAGCAAATGTAAAAGATTCATTTCGCACCCTCCACCACAGAACGTGATCGTCGTTAGACTTGGCAACCCTGCGAGTGACAGATAGATATCTTTGCCAGTCAAAAAGACAAACAATAAACATTACTAGTTTTTTTGATTTTTGGACTTAAAAGACATTATTTGTGAAACATTTTTCATATTTTTTTGCCTATGTCCATGGTAATTGCATTATGCATCAGGGAGATGTAGGGATTGACACGTCTTACACATATTATCTGTGTTTTAGGATGGAGAGGACATAATGTTTTTATTGCTTTGAAGAAATTCATTAACCCATAAATTAATAAATGATTAATATTATGACGTAAAGGAAGATGAGGAATTGGATGGAATGTATTTTATATTCTATTTTCTTGCAAAATACAGACAAAGCCACACTATTCAACAGGTATGTAATGATAACTTTCAGTATATTGACGTTGGTAAATTCGAGAGTGCCATGCATTAACAAACGTCCAAATCTGCTGCCAAATTTAACAGCTAGAAAGTCGGGCTATTATTTGCTGCATTCCCATTCGCTGAGGGGGATAACGGATTGTTAAATGTAAACCTATAACATACAGGTATATTAAAATACATGAAAGTTGTCCTGTTTTTTCTGTACAAAAGCATCATGTTGGAATCAAAATGTGGTCTTGTTTATAATACAGTCAAATTTTCACGATTTTATTCAATATTTCCATATATTCACTAATATTCAGAGACCTTTGACAGCTTCTGTCAAATTGCATTTCGATAAGGTATTTTCCCATTGGTCCATAATATTAATGTTGGTGAAATCGGCCCCAAATCTCGTAGACCTCCGTCTGTAGCCCCTGTCTGAAAATCTCGGCTAGCCGTGAACTTCTCGTATGCGGCGCGGCCAAAGCCTGCTCGGACCCCTCGGCATGTCGGACACGAGGAAATCGCGGTGGCCGTGCGCTGCCGACGCCGCCAGTCATTTGTTTTGTCCGCGGACGGACGCTTAATGGGCTCGATCATTTTTTGCAACGAAAGGATTCATGCAACGATTCATGATAATTTTTTCAGGATCCATGACGGTTTTATCACTGGTACCACGAATTTGATAATAGAAACAAGCCGATGAATTTGACTATTTTCTATTTGCTAAACGTATCTCAAAAGAAATAAATCTATTCAAGGTTTTATGGCGGGCCATCTTTCTCGTACGCACATACGCAATCCGCCTGTATGAGTGGACATTTTTGCTTGTTGTGAACTCAAACAGTTTTTTTAGTTTTGTCACACCGCCTTGAACTATTTAGCGTTAACGTGTGAGTCTTCCAGATTTATGCTTCTTACTGTCGGTAACATAAAAAGGCGAAGCTTAATCATCAATCTTCTGTTAATTTCCGATACAAAATATAGAACGCCTGCAGATGTAACTGTAATACATACTTGTACATATATACATCGGCAATCTGTGTTGCATCCATTGGATTGTTTTTCTAAAGTGTGTGAAAATAACGGACCTCAATCATCTAATTCGTCAGTTTGTTCAAGAGTGTAACTTTAGGTCTGTCATAGAGAAACCATCCTCTCCAATGGCATTTGATGAGATATTAGTTACAATTTTGATTAGACTGGTCCTGTCTAACAGTTGGAAGCTAAGAGAATCGTTAATGTTTACATTGTTTTTGTAAAAATTGATTAATTCTTGGGAAGCAGTGTTGAGTGAGTTTTCTTGCATGTTATGTTGAGCTTTTTGGTAGTGTCCCAAAATTCCTTTCTTCGTTGAGAGTAAGTTAAAGAATGTATTTTTTTCTCGGATAATTGCATGATTTGTATAGTTCCTTAGTTGTTTATAATATTCAAAATGAGCCTGTGATTTTGATTTTTGAAAATTTTTCTGAGCTTTATCTCTTAGTCTGATTAAAATTCTTATATTTTGAGTTAGCCAGGGTACATAAGGTTTTTCGGTTATTTGTTTTGTTTTTATCGGAGTATGTTTATTATACTATATTTTTATTAAAATGTTCTATTTTTTGGTGGATTTGGTTTATATAGTAAATATCCTCCCACCCAAGTAGAAACCCTTCATTTAAGAAGAATTCTCTCTCTATATTATTGTAGTCTCTATATTTAATAGTCTTTTGTGATTTATTTATTTTTGACTTTCGAAAGGCTGAGTAAATTAAGTTATGATCTGAGAGATTTTGAGAAACCGCCAATGATTTAGAATCAATAGAGATAAGATCCTCACTAGCACAGATTATATCAATGAGGCTAGCCTCTCTTGTGGCAAAATTGAATCTTGTTGGCCCACTGATTCATTTCGTATGGCATAACCGCCAATAACCGAAAATATATTTGTCTGAAGGATATTTATAAAAAGAAACTGGCCATGAACAGTAACATCAACATCATATTGGACCCGTTACATGCAGTTTATGTTATTTCAGATTTTAGCAACACGTCTGAGTTTGCATGTTTAATAACCCTTCACATATCAACCCTGCTATTGAGTGCAAATATGCTTTCAGCATCGCTGTGGAATACTTGCCTGTTCTGAAATTAACATTTTGCCTATATGATCTAGTAGAGGCTTTGTGTTGGTAAACAGCAACGCTAAACAATGAGAATTCATTAGATTCTCTATCTCTATCCAACCGGTAGGATGGTTAAACTTCTATTCTACTGTACATATGCTC